TCTTTAAAGTAGAGATACGGAAAAATCCTTGGCAAAAGAATATCCCAAGATCCTTGGGTTTAAAGCTAAAAAAATATAAAAACAATTAATATATTACCTATTTTTACATATAATATGGCCCATACCTACTACACGCAGAAACGTCGATTTCATCATTTTTCTTCATGTAATTAATATCATATATACTTTATTAAAGTGTTAACAAGGAACTTTATACCAAAAAACATCTTTGTACTTATAAATTTCAGCCGAAATATCAGAAACAAACTTCCAATCAAATCTAAACGGCAAAAATTGAAATGGCGCCCGACCTTGCCAGAGGCCTCGGGAGCTGACGCTGACACACAGACAAAAGACAAAAGAACAGGACGCCGACATGCATAAAAATGTTCCGTAGCAGAAATTGACAGAAATCATAAATCATATAGAAATATTCAGATTTTTGTCTAGGACAGTCTAGAAGGCCATGCTTTCTGCCTGGGTAGAACCGCGCCACAACTGTTTCCAATTTTCCGGTTTACTGTCACCCCCCTGGTTGCAGCCAGGGGGGTGACAGTAAACCGGAAAATTGGAAACAGTTCTGGCGCGGTCCTACCCAGGCAGAAAGCATGGCCTTCTAGACTGTCCTAGACAAAAATCTGAATATTTCTATATGATTTCTGTCAATTTCTGTTACGGAACATTTTTGGCACGTCGGCGTCCTCTTCTTTTGTCTGTGTGTTAGCCATGTGTCAACTCCCGAGGCCTCTAGCAAGGTCGGGCGCCATTTTGTCGTTTAGATTTGATTGAAGTTTGTTTATGATATTTCGGCTGAAATTTATAAGTACAAAGATGTTTTTTGTTATAAAGTTCCTTGTTAACACTTTAATAAAGTAATATATGATATTAATTACATGAAGAAAAATGATGAAATCGACGTTTCTGCGTGTAGTAGGTATGGGCCATATTATATGTAAAAATAGGTAATATACTAACTGTTTTATATATTTTTTTTTAGACCCAAGGATCTTGGGATATTCTTTACCAAGGATTTTTCCGTATCTCTACTTTAAAGACTGATCGGTGATTTTGAGCAATTGAAAGCAAGCTATACAAGGTAAATTATGATTATTGAACTATTATTAGCCTACATTAATTATCTACAAGATGAACAGAAATGCCTAATTAATCACATATGTACCTATTATGTATTTTCATAGCAATAATGCTATAAATCTATGTATGTAGATTATTTTTAAAATACAAATTAGGTATTAGATGTATATGTATCATATTTTTTATTCATTTTATTTTTATTCAATTCCTGTTTGATTTAATTCACAAAAGTCTTATGTACCTATATTTATGTTTTTTACATATTTTTTTTGATTCCAGGTTTTGTGTGGGTTCCGGTTGCCTTTTTCCTGCTTCCAGTTATTTAGTTTTATGCCCGTGAAGCTTCAAGTTTCTGTAAGTCAATGCACTGTTACTTTACTAATTCACTTTAACACAGCATCTCTGATATTATTTAAATATTTGATATTGCTACAATAGTTTATTGGTTTATAGCTCTTTAATTGTGTTGATTTGCATATTTACATTGTTCTAAATTCCAAATAAATATTTTTGAGTAATTTTGTTGTTTTATTTACTACTAGAAAGAGTAAAAAGTATATTAACCCTCATTTAAACCTCCTGAACAGCCCGCCATTAAAAACCGGAAACGGAAATAAATTTCATAAAATTGAAATTGTCATGTCTATGTCATGTCAAATGTCCCAGCCGCCATATCTGAAAATTAGTTACCCAGGCAGCCACGCTGTTTCCATAATTTAACATTGACTTGACACTTCTTCTTGAATTTATTATTTTATGGTTGCAGCTAAACATTGGAGGTTAAAAATGTTAAAACTGACACATGTCGTGTTGCAAAATGACACATGTCGTGCGCTAAATCCTGAGCCATAGATAAAAGAAAATAATCTACTATTAAGATAGATATGAAACTTAATAGTAAAATTTTGGGTCAAAGCGCCCCTCCGTGTTTTTAGTGGAGACTACGTTTAACGCAGCGCTTTCGCCTTTTCTGCTGTAAATGTTTTTTATGTTTATATTTGAATTCAAAGGATTTATTTTTAAACTTTAGAGTAACTTTAATAAAACATAAGAATATATATATATTTTACAATTTATTTTTTTATTTATTTTACAGAGTTTCATGTAAATGATCGTAAGTCGACTGGCTGTCTAATGAATAGACCGAGATTTATAGATTTTAAAGAGAACGAAAAAAAATCAAACAACGAATACATACCATCTATTTTTCTTTTATCTAAGATACATACCTTATCGTCTTTTGGAAACACGTATATTTTTGCAGTTTTGTTAGTTTCTTTGTAAGATGCAACACAACAAGAAAACACCATTTTTACAGTTAATAAATAATAAAACTATTTCTGACTATGATATTTAAAATTTAGATAGATAGAAAATTAAAAAACAAACGAGTATTTGCAAACGCAGGCCCAAATTCAATAAAAATCAAAATTTTTCCTGCGAAAATCAGGCTTTTTTCACTGAAAAATTATTTTTTGATTTATCAGCAGTCATTGTCAAGTTGACAATATACAGGGTGTTTTCGATTTAGTATAAAAAAATTATGGTGTGATTCCTCATGTGTTCTTAAAACGATTTTTATATAACCATTAGGTCTAAAGTACTTCCTTTCTGATCTACAGGGTGTTAAAATTTTTAAAAAATTGATTTTTTTGCTTAACATAAATGGTACACCACTGCTTTTTTAAAGAAAATATATTTTGTTCTTGACTGGCCATCCTTTTTCAACAAAAATTATATTTTGAGTTTTTCTTGTTCATCCAACGGTTGTCGAGAAAAAAATAAATATACTTATTAAGAGCCCGCCTTAATTCGTTTTCTAACGATTTTTTATTTTTTAGATTAATTAGGAAACACCCTGTATATGCATATCACAGGCAACCAAATAAACTAGTAACCTCTAAAAAATCTTTTTCCTACCACTAGCGACATACCGTGTTTTTAGTGTGTACTAAATAATTTTATCAAAATTTCACCATATAAGTTTCCAGGCAATTATCCTTAGCACACTTTAGCACACGACAGTTTGTAAAACGCCAATTTCAGATCGAGTTTTCCGTGTGTCAAACTGCATTTTCTAGACTAGTCGTAGAAAAAAAGTATTTACTACATTTTTTGTCCCTTGTAAAAAAACGCTACATCACATAGTTTTTGGAAAAAAAAATTTGGAGAATTTATTTTCCCAAAGCAGACCTACAAAATATACAGAAAGTTCGAATATTCCGTGAACGTAGAACAACTACGTATTTTTTGGATCAATATAATACAAAACTTCTTCGTTTAGTTAGGTTAGAAGGCATCAATCAAAAATAAACCCGAACGTTAATTAATTTAAAAATTATTATTTTTTTAGCTTTTTATGTCGAATATAATTTGTGATAATAAAGAAAATTCCATATTTTCGCCAACTAGATTATTAGAGCATAATAGATTTTACACGCTTCCATAGCTTAATGAGACAAAAAGCATTTTTTGGAAGTCAGGTTTGGAAAAATATTTTTTTTCATCAAAAAGGGACAAAAAATGTTGTAAATACTAGAGGGGTCTTTTTACGAAAAGAAAATCAGCCGTCGGTGGAGTTAGAAAATATTTATACTAAAATTTATGTAGGGGTGGGGGTAGTTTTCACCCTTCCAGCATTTTTGAGTCAAATAGCTTTGGCAAGACGAGGCATTCCGAAGATTGAAGAAGGCCCTGACTAGTACGCCCATACTTAGCTACCCTCTTGGCAACGGAAACTTTATCTTGGATACCGACGCTAGTAATGTTGGATTAGGCGCTGTTTTGTCTAAGATCCAGGATGGTCAAGAAAAAGTAATTGGATATTTCAGTAAGACCTTGTCAAAACCAGAAAGGATCTACTGTGTGACCAGACGAGAATTACCAGCAGTAGTTAAAGCAGTGGAACACTTCTACAAGTATCTCTATGGCAGAAAGTTCTTGTTAAGAACAGACCATGCTGCTTTGAAATGGTTGTAGCAGTTTAAAAATCCTGAAGGGCAGGTAGCTAGATGGATCGAACGATTACAAGAATTCGACTTTGACACAGAACATCGAGCTGAGGCAATTCATCGAAATGAAGATGCACTTTCCAGAAGACCTTGCGCTAAGGGCTGTAAGCATTATTCCCGAGTAGAAGAGAAAGAAGCGAAACTCCTAAGAACAACTGTGGTTAATGATACTTGGCAACCCGAAGATCTTGCAAACGACCAAATCGGTGACCCAGAATTAGGCTTAGTGATTAACTGGAAAAACGCGGACCAAAGATCAACGTGGGAGGAAGTTTGCAGATATTCGCCGAACGTGAAGTCGTACTGGGCCCAGTGGAATTCCTTGGTAATAGATAACAAAGAGAGCACATAGCAAAACATATACACCCAAAATCTCATTCAAATAATCTCATTCAAATCGGAATAACGGTTCTTAAAATATCTGAAAAAATGTGTTTATTTTTTTAAAGTTTGATGCCCTCTAGCGGACAAACGCAGCACTTTTGTATAGAGGTAAATTGTGTCCAATGAACTTATTTTAATTCCAAAAATACGTAGTAGTTCTACAGAATATTGAGACACCCTGTATATCTGTAAATGCCGGTGGAAAATTGAATAAATTTGAATTAATTTTTCAAAAAATCAAATTTTTATTTTTAGTTTTTAAGTGACGAACCATCAACCATTTTCCACGTATTTAATTATAGAGTTACAAAATGGGCCATTCAGCTTTTACTGAGGCAAAATACTAAAACGCCAAACTTTTCGAGTTATACGGCTTATCCCTTTTTCCCTCCCTATAAATATTCGGAAGTAAAACTTGGAATTTTCGCAACTCTATTAAAACTTGGACAATAATCCCGATATAGAGTGAACAATTTAGGGATTTTATAATAGCAATAAAAAAGGATTTACCAGTTCTTGATCGCCGATGCGTTGCGCAGCGTCTCCGCCCCCCAAGGGTACAGTAAAGGAAGTTGGTCCAGGGGGGTAGTTGGAGACTTGTTTATGTTCCACTCCCTCCACATCGATGGCACCATCCACTATAATTATAAAAACGTATACGTAGTTGGCAAAAAATTCGCAACAAATGAAAAAAAAACTCAATTAATGAAAAAAAGTTATGCGCAATTAGTTCAGCATATCCAATACGAAAACAAAATCATTTTCACACTCTACTAAAAGATACGATAATTATTGCTGATTAAAGAATAACCGAATATGCTCAAATGCGTAACTCCCTTGGGACATTAGACAGTTAAAGGAAGGCATAATACGTATACGTATCTTTCAACACGTAACGCAGAAACCTACGTCTGCCGTTGCGTTGTCGTGTATACAAGAGTTAAAGCAAGTATTTTGACGTACTTAACGCAAATGGTACATTTGTAATTCTAGATTATTTTGTAAATCATCATCAAGAAAACCAGAAAAAAAATAAAAGGATTTTACAATATTTCCTCACAATCGGCTTAGCCTATATAAAATGTTATTACGTATATAGCATTAAAAACAGCAACAGTATCAAGCGATTCATAATATTATAGAAATTTAATATTATTCATGTATTCACTAATTAACTTAATGACCCGTAATTATGGATTTTAAACCTAATAAAATATATTCATATTATATAAATAAATACGTATAATAGGGTGCTTTAATGTATAATGTCATGTTAATGCTCTTTTATCCCTTGACCGATGTACATCATTTGCGGACTTATCAGTATATCAAAATAAATTTGACATATTTACGGTAGTTTTAATAAAACCGCAAATTCAAATAATCATCGATTGAGCAGCATATTAAATGGATACATAATAAACATGACTCTGTATGAGATTTATAGAAATAAATTACGAATAGTATTATTTGGGGAGTAAGCTATACAAACTCTTTTTAATTATTATATTTATTTCATTATTAAATTAGGTATTAAAAATATAAATATAAAAGCTTATAATATATAATAAAAAATGTAAATTTCATAAACTGAAAAATTATATGGAACGCCTTTAAATTATAGCACTAAAATACTTTCGACGAGCCATGGGATATTTTGACAGATGACATCCAAAAAATGGACCAATTATCCCACCAAGCAAAAAACCTCACATTACATTTGCAACATTGCAGTCAATCCCCAAACAGTTTGCTTTGTAATATTAATTTCTAAACGTTGTGTCGTGATTGATGAAACCTTGCTACAGAAACATTGTTTTTGAATGGTGATTAAAACGTTCTTTCTGCAACATTGCAACAAAGATTCAAATGAAAGATCCGCGCAAGTTAATAATCTTCTTCTTCTTCTTTCTCAGCCTGGTTCCATCCAGTGTTGGATATAGGCCTCTTCTAGGTTTTTCCATGCTTCGCGATCTCTAGCCAATCTTATCCATTGTCTTCCCGCCACTGCGCTGACGTCATCGACCCATCTCTTTTTTGGTCGGTCCACACTTCTTGTTGTTCCCCTAGGTCTCCATAGGATTACTTTTTGGGTCCATCGGTCTGGATCCTGTCTTGCCACATGTCCTATCCATTGCCACTTCAGACTTGCCACTCTTTTAACGACATCTATTAATTTTGTTTTTTGACGTATGTGGGTATTCCGTATTTTTTCGCTAATGGTGACTCCCAACATGATTCTTTCCATGGCTCTTTATGCTACTCGTAGTTGTTCTGCCGTTTTTCGAGTAATTGCCATAGTCTCTAAGCCATACGTAAGCACAGGTAGAATGCAGCTGTCGTAAGCCTTTTTCTTTAGGTTCATGGGCACCTTTTTATCCTTGAAAATATCGCTCATATTTCCAAATGCTACCCATGCCAAATGGATCCTGCGTTTGATCTCCGTATTTTGGTTTTCCTTGCCCAGCTTGATTTTATGACCTAAATATATATAATGGTCTACGTTTTCAATAATAACGTTGTCAACGGTAATGTTATGGATATTGTTGCTCATTATCTTGGTCTTCTTCAAGTTCATTTTAAGGCCAATTTTCTGGGATTGGTCATTTAGCTCAAGATCGAAAAAAACGGCGTCTAGTTGGCTTGGAAATGAATATCGATGACATTCCCCATATAAAATGACAGCGATTTTCTTTTCATTGCCATCGTCTTTTCATGACGTCTTTTTTTTTCGATCATACGGTAATGATACGGTATAAGAAGTTAGGTTAGGTTAACGCACTTGTTTTTATACGTTTCTGGCAAATACGTTTAAAATAAAGTATACGGAGGGTACCGCTTAAATTATTTAAACGTATTTGGTTTCTGGTATCACATTTAGGTGCGTATTCATTATCCGAACGAACGAATGTTCGCTAGTGGCACGGCATATAAATCACACGGCAGGCTAACTCCCTTTGGCGGGAACGCTACGCGCATACCGTCGCGCACGCCGCCATTAGGGTTTCCATCAACAGAAAGTAACCAGTGTCGTCGTTTCTTTCATCGACTGCGCACACTTTCGGCTGATTCGAGTCAGTAGCGTACGGATTAATTTATTTTGTTTATTTCTTGAGTTATATTTTATAGTTGTTGTTTTATTTTTGTTTATTGTGTTATATATTTGGTTTTTCTAGTTTATTTTCGTTTCTTGTGTTATATAATTTATTTTTGTATTTCTGAACATTTTTAAATCGTTAATTTTTACGTGTTTTTAAAATGCCTGGGCGAAGTTGTGCAGCAAAAAACTGCCCGAGTAGAGGACTAAACTGCAATAAAAGTTTCTTTCTGTTTCCTAGAGATCCGATTAGGTATGTATATACATATGTGATTAATTATTTTAACATATTTTAGTTAAAAAAACAGTAGTATACATATTAGGACATTCAGCTAAATAGAAAGATCTAATTAAAAATATACAAGTTCAGCATCTATATTAAATGTTAACAAACTTATATACAGGGTGAGTCTTAAATAAGTGCAAATATTTTCAGGGCTCGCAGATCTCGATAAAAGAAACATATTTTCTCCTTACTTTTTCAGATAAATCCAAAATAACCGAGTTATTTAAGTTTAAAAAAAATGGTTTTTTTTAAATGTTGAGTTGAGAGCCACCGGATTTTTTCTGTATTTGCATCCCTTTTAGTGCCGCAACCATAGAGTAAAGCCGTAACTATGGTAATATCAGAGATTAAGAAATTATACCATGGGAAAATTTGCGGTGAACAGGCATTTCTAAAAAGTTTTCGAAAAATATACAGTGAAGTTAAAAGAAAATGCACGATTTTCAATATCTTTTTTTAGCGAAAAAAATCACCCCTGAAAATATTTGCACTTATTCAAGACTCACCCTATATGTATATAAAATATTAGCAAGATTAAAATGTTAAATATTTAGTAAAATTTAATGTTGTATCTAGACATTCAACATTAAATTTAAAAATAATTATATTATTAATTTAAATAAAATTATAAAAATAAATAAAATGAGTATATCGAAAATAACAATAGATTAGTAACAAGTTAACAATACATTTTTAGGGCAAGAACATGGGCAATTGCAGCTAACTGAGAAGACTTGATTGAAGATATAAATAAGGCCCACAAGTACAGGTTGTGTTCTGTTCACTTTGAATTTAAAATGTTTACCAATTCACTTTGTAGCCGTATAAAATACAATGCGGTACCTACTTTGTTTCCTGCCATGAAAAAAATAGAAGTTTTTCAAAAAAAATTGTGGATTTATTAATTTGTGAAATTTGAATATTAATAAAATTTGCTACGCCCATTGATGGGCATAATTTGTAGGTAGCCTCTTTATATTGTTCAATAAATATTTTATTGGTATTTTTTTAATTCTTGTTTGTAACTCCTGGTTCCTCCTCGCTGCTGAGACTCCTCTGGAGGGGGCTTACTTTGTTTACGTGGAATTCGAACTGCGGTCCTCGTCATTGTTAATGACTTACCGACTTGGTGAGTGTCTAAATCGACTCTTACTCACGAGACATCCGATCTCATCCGACCTCGAACTGGCGTGAATGAGTAGTGTGGGTCAATAGACTTTACACTCTACATAACACAACTGCACGACAGAGTTTCCAGAGGGTCATTCGTCCATCCACTTGCATTGTCTAACGTCGCTTAACTTCGGTTGATCAATCGAGAACCGGTACTTCGATGTAGCTGCCGTTTTCTTAATATCTGTATTACTCTATAGTAAACGATTCTATTCAATCTCAAAGATATAGAGTATAAAAAGTATAGAATTAATGTTTTTTTTCTTTTCTATGGTGTATAATATAAGGTCAGCTCACGTTACAGGCATAAAAGCGAACGTCGATACGAGCTCCATGTTTTTGTTAGTTGCATGTTTTTTAATTTTAATTGTCTATTCTCTACAGTGAAATATTTAATTGATTTTTTCATTTTTACTTTTCGAGAAGTATGCGCGGTTAACGATTCATTTGTTTGGACAAAAGTATTGTAAATAAAATTCAGTTTCAGTCAATTACAGTATTTTTTTAATACGACCCTGTCGTATTTTCTGAGAAATTTTTTAATACGTTTTAATCCGGCCCTGACTAGGAAACCATAATGGCGCCGACAAGGTCAAATTTTATAGAAATTTTAAACAATGGAATCTGAGTAGAGTTGGCGTGCCGATTGTTTTATGTGCCGTGCTAGTGGTATGGACGGGGACCGCACGATAGGACCGCACGAGAAGACCGGAGGCATTTGTTGGCGAACGCCTTTGATGTACCGACTCGAAACGGATGGTCGAGCGAACGAACGAACGAACGGCCGCATGCGTTCGGTCCCCGTCTAAATATACCGCACTTTCATTCAAATTTTGTTTAGTTTACTTTGTTTTTAAACTAAATTTTATGTTTTAGGTTAGCTTTTAGCCAACTGAAAATTGAAGTAGATAAAATCAGGATACGAGTATATCAATCTAATGATAAAATCACAAATAATATTCAGTATTAATTATTCTCAATAATATTTTTTTAATGATGTTATAATCATTTGAAATTTTTAAAATAAGGACATAAAGGGGCCTCAAAGATTATTGTCACAAGAGGTAAGTTTCTCATTGCTTTATATTTATTACAACTGATTGTTTGTATTTTTACTACTTTAGAAATGATTGGATACAGATTTCAAAACTTTACCGAATTTGAGACCATGAATAAGACAATTCAACATGCGAAGACAAAATATGAAAGATCCAAAAAATCAATTAAAATATAAGTTTGCTTTTCCTTCTACATACATTTAATGTTATACTTTCCTTTTGTATTTTTGAATATGAAATATAAAATATTGTTTATACTGTACCTATATATTTTGTATTATTTCAGACATTCAACTTTAAGATTTTTTTTAGAAATTCGACTCGGAGGTCAGAGTTGAGTAATTCCTTATTTAATTAGCAGCCGAAAAGATCAGTAAGTTCTCAGTACTTGACAGTATTTTTGATATTTTTGAAACAAGTAAGTGATAAAATGATAAATTTCTAATTTTTATTTGTTTTTTTTTCAATTTGTTTGACAAATTCGACTTTCTTGGTAGGGATCTATTTACCGAGCATTTTTAATTTTTCTAAGTCAATGGATATAGAGATATACCTACCTACATATTTTTATCAATATTGTTTATGTTTTTCGTCAATACAATATTAGTAAAAGTATATTATACCTATCTGAAAGTCTACAATTTAATACCCATTAATGTTTCTGTTTATTATAACCTTATTACTGATGTATTATTGTTAACATAAAATTGCTTAAAATTGCTAATTTTCGCAAGAAAAAACTGTTTCATTAATTGATAAGTAAATATTAAAAAATAACTTTTATATTTTCCCTCTGATGAATCAAATGGTTTTTTAATGCAAACATTATCTATTTTTTGCTATATTATTTTAGCAATAAGTCAGTTAATTATAATTAATAATATAATTTTACCAATATTGTATTGACGTAAAATTACCAATATTGCTAATACATCCCAAATTAGTACATTCTTGAACGTTACATTAGCAACGTTTCAATAATATTGTGAAATGCAACCTTGCACTGCAATGTTATTTGGCGGAAGATTAAGCTACCCTGAAACCTTGCATAAACCTCCCTACAATGAAAAAAGCAATGTTACACCTTGCTTTGCAAAGTTTTGGCAATGTTCCAGCAATAAATTTTGCTTGTTGGGATTATTTTCAAGTATTCTCTAATGATTGGACAAACTTTATTAAATTTCCTGTTTTTTTAGATATTATAACTATGATCTAAGATATTATTTGAAACCTATATAAGTTATCATGGAGTGTGTCCTCGGATTGTCTTTATTTGCCTTTTTTTAAATAAATTGATTATAACCGAGTTATTTAACTTGAATGAAAATTTAGAAGAATAATGGCAACATTTTGAAAGCCGCCGCCGTCGGCAGGAATCGATAACCAGTCGCAAATACCAAGCAATTACCAGAATCTCAGCTTGTTCGACGCCCACTGTTGACACATCGACTAGAAAGATTTAAAAACGACTTGGAAAGTTCAGATTAAAACATTCGTATGCCATCTGAATTATTTAGGATTATTTTTAGAGAATTTAGACTCCTCTGATTTTCTATCTCACACTCTTGGTTTTGTGAATAAACACCTACATCGTCATATCAATAATTGATATTCCTATTTGAATAATAAAAGTATTTTTACAGCCTTAGCTTACATTTGTCTTTTTTAGATTTGTCAAAATTTATCCACAGACACCTTTGACATAATTTGTTAAAATTTATCCACAGACACCTTCAATGTGTGTCAAGGAGTCCGCCAGGGCTGTATACTGTCACCAATACTTTTTAATATATACATCGAAAAAATATTTCAAATGGCCCTGGAAGGAGAAAGTGGAGGAATTAAGATTAACGGAGTTACAATTAACAATATAAGATATGCAGATGATACGGCAATACTAGCACCAACTTTAGAGGATCTCCAGCAAATAATAAATAAGATAGGGGACATGGGAAATCGTTTCGGTCTTAAAATCAACGCTGCCAAGACCAAACTTATGGTAATAGGACGCCAGCCTACAATCATCACCGCATTGACCGGATGGAAATATTATAGAGCGAGTTCCACGATTTAAATATCTGGGTGCCATGATCAATGAACGATGGGACTGCGATGAGGAAGTTAAACTTAGAACGAATTATGCAAAGTCAACATTTTTTTAAACTTAAAAACTTCCTATTAGCACGCAGTCTCCCGCTAACACTTAGACTACGGGTAGTAAAATGCTACATATGGCCTATCTTACTATACGGCGCAGAAACCTGGTCTCTCAAGGCTAGAACCCTGAACCGCATCGAGGCTTTCGAAATGTGGACTCTCCGGAGACTCTTACGTGTGCCATGGACCGCACATGCCACCAACAAAGAAGTTTTAAGAACTGCAGGCTATGAACGAGAAATGCTTAATATAGTTAAAGAAAGGAAAGTCTCAGACCTCGGCCATATCCTTAGAGGAGACAAATATTACATTCCTAAGCTGATTCTACAAGGAAAAATAGAGGGACGGCGAGGCCCAGGAAGAAAACAACATTCCTGGCTAAGAAACATACGGGATTGGTGTAACATCAGCGACGCAGCCACCATATTTTGAAGAGCCGAAAACGGCAGTCTACACATTGTATGAAGAGTACAAACAATCGCCAACGGGCGGCTAAGCACATGGCACAGGAAGAAGAAGAAGATTTGTCACAGGTTTACTGTTTTGAGTAAAATCTCAAATGAATTGGGTAACCTAAAAATTCCATCACAATCATCTGAACTGTTTAAATGTAAGTCAAACGTTGACTATTTACATATCTAATAGAGGGCGCTGGTTCTGAACTATTGAAAAGCAGTTATAATTGTTCATTATTTAGTTTCATTATTTCAGTTTACTAAACTGTAAAAAGGTATTTCAAATATATAAACATTGCACTATACTTAAAAGTAATGTACAATGATTAAAAAATCTACAGTGAATAAAATTATTTAAAATATTTTTTTGTAGAATTTTAAAAATGTGAACTTATAACTTATAAACATACAGAAAGTGGATAACATAGGAGGTAGCAACATTGCATTATATCGAAGCACTATAAACAAATTTGCGGAAACTGAACAAGCGGCTCTCAAAAGTTTTTCAATATGTTCCGGAAAATGCCAAGAAAAATATAAAATCAATTCAACATTTTTTTCTCCAAAAAAACCTCATGGACGTGTTTCTGGGGTCGAACAATATTATCAGTTAAAATACTTGCACTTATTTCTGTGACACCCTGTATAGGCATATGAAACAAAAAAAAAGTTCTATTTTAGTTGCCTTGTTGAAAAAAATATATAAAAATTGCAAGAAAAGTCAGTGGTGTACAGTTTCTTCATCCTGTATCCTCAAAAAAATGTATTACCGGACCCCTTTTTGTTTAGAGAAACTTTTTAAACACTAAAACCACTGAAATTTGGTCGTGTATTTTTCGAACTTTCGACCGCCCTGTATATTCCCAAGCAGCATTTGGACGTCGGGACAACCTTGTGTCACGCGACCAAACGTCGGGGCGCAACGTCGGTACAACCTCGTGCCAACCCTAGTCTGCACTAGTTTGGAGAATAATTTTTGGGTCGAAACGACGGCGACGTTGGATACCGACGTTGGCTAGCAGCCTAATTTAGTACAAACTGCAACGTTGTTTAAAATCCTAATTCACAGAAGTACCAAACTATAATAATATGGCGTCTAAGTCGCGTTTTATCCTAAATTGGGATTATTATAGTATAAATATTATTTTTATGACTTAGTTAGAGACATATGCCAGATGGCAGTAAAGGAAAACAAAACAAAAGTATTTAAGTGTGGAGGATGTTTGAAGATCATAATTATTAAAACACTTTAACCAACTCTGTAACTCGTTAACCAAGGCAAAAAAGTTAAACGCGAACAACTTTATTGATAAATGTATTGTTTCTACGTTGAAAAATACTAATGGGCCTTAAAATTAAAGAAGTTTTAAAAAAGTTCTTGAATTTTTTTTTGTAAAATGAGAATAATTTATTCGCAGTCGAAAAAAAATTGTTTCCGCATGTTGTTTCTGGTCAAATATTTCAAGTTAATGTATCCAAAAAGTAGGAATTGCTATTTTAGGAACGAAACATTTTCTTATTCAACAACAATGCGGCTTTCACTATATGCGGTATACTATACGCAAGATTGCCTAATTTAGTCATCCTAGAGTCTAGCTTGTGCCGCCCTCTATATTCTAAATAAACGAGGGAGTGGATAAAGTATCGGTAATATTTCGATGTATATTTAAATTTAGTTTTATATGTGCCTTTCTTACGTCCCATTTTAATTATTTTTTTTTTATAAAAACAAAAACAGCACTGAACTGTCTGACTGAACAGAACAATGAAGTGAACATTTAAGATTTAAGGTTATGGTTCAATACAGTTGCAAAAAGGTAGTGGCTCGACGTCCTACCAACGTAAGAATAAGGAAATCTAAACAACGTCGGAATTAGTAAAACAGACGACGATTGCATAACGTTGGAATAGGCCCTGAAAGTGACGTCGGAAAACTCTTTATTGCCCAACATTGTAACAACGTTGTCCGAATCACCTAAAGATCGCTTAAGCAAAAAAGGTTACAAGACAACGTTTATTCGACGTCGCAGAAGCTTTACTTTGTTGTAGTACCAGTTCAACGGCGGCACAACGTTACAACAACATTTACATATATTTTAATACCCAAGGTACGGAGCTAACTATTTTTTGTAACTAATCCAACGTTGTGTTTAGTAAACATGTGGTCGCAAGTCGTGAAAATGCTACTTGGGTTAGATACGTCCTAAATATTATTCAACTAAATTAAAAATATATCTTGTATTATATCGACTATTTTGTATTAACATGGTATTATTAATAGCAAAAAGCGTCAAGTTAAAGCATTTTAAAGCGCACACACACTCTTCAATCATCGAACCTGAGGGGTAAGATTTCAAGTTCCTTATAACATCAACAGCCTCCACTATAATGCCGACTACTGAAATAATAATTTTATTAAACATTTAGGTCACACCATACAATTTTGTTATGTACGTTTATCTTGCAATAGTTGCAATAGAATTAAACAATAATAATGTATGCTGTATCTTTGCTACGGAGCGATCATATAATTGAAATAGTTGACTATACTGCTTTTGATCATTTGGTTGGCAATAAATTTAAGCAATTCGGATATTTATCAAGTGTTATCACTAACGTCAAAACAAACTAACAATCAAAACAAGAGGAGAAATAAATGAATTCAATCGGTAAGTTTTCTAATTTAGCTATTTTGCTTATATAACTTTCTGTTAAAGTGTTTGAGTTAAAATATAAAATGTATAGGGGAGGTCGGGGCATGATGACGAACGGGGCAAGATGACGAAGTACTGATTTAAAAAAAACTGTACATCCTAAAAATCCCATTTATTTTTCTATAAATTCCTTTAGGTGTATAATACGTCGGGTTAAACATAGATGGAGCTATCACTTTTGCATCGGGTTTACAAAATCATAACTGCTTTTCACACCTGTTAGATGTAAACATCCAGCTCCAGAAAATAAGCGATTTCGCAGGTTTAAAGAAAAATAGAAGCTCCTTTCACAGTTAATCTTGATCATTTTAAATATTAGAAGGTAAGATACAACCTAATTTCACTTAATTAATAATTGAATTTTTGCTGTTTCCTAAAAAATGTTTCCTGGGGTAAGTTGACGGAGGCAAGATGACGAATTCGTCAACTTGCCCCATTGTGTATAAAATTAGTTAAATTCATTTTTTGATGTTTTTAGATGGTGAGAACTTATAAACACCGTACAGATAGACGCTCTTGGTCAGAAGACGTGCTAATTGCCGCATTGCACTCTATTTTGCACGACCATAAGTCAGTTAATGCTGCCAGTATTGAGCATAGAATCCCGGAAGCAACATTAAGACGTTATATAAAAAATCAAAATAACAACGAACCAATTCCTCTTAGTGGTGGAAGATTCAGAAGAACGTTTTCTGATGCTCAGGAAGCTCAGTTTGTGACTTACCTAACTGACCTGAGTATTAGAACATTGTTAATTAGAAGCAGAAAAGCTTGTTAATTTAATTCTCCCGGGACCCTCAGGATCGAATAAAATGGATTCTGCAAAGAATAAAAACTATGAAACACCAGATACTGAACCCGCATTGCTTTCAAAAAAAAACAGCTGGCAAGGTCAATAAATTTGTCCCTTCCTGGACTTTTCAAGCCTACAGCAAAAAAAATCTGCAAAAAACAATGAAGCACAAGCTCTTGGTACTATAAGTTCATCCAGCTCCAGTCAAACAATCTCTAATGTTGACAGTCGAGTTACGCTACTTGAAATGAAACCCTTTCCCAAACATACACGTCCCATAAAAACTACCAAAAAAATAAATCAAAGGACTTCTGTCATCACCTCAACACCCAACAAAGAAGAACAGGAAAGGACAAACAATGAAAAAAACTTAAAAGAAATTAAAAGAAAGAAGATTGATTCTGTGAAAGTCAAGAGAAATGTATTTCAAGAAAATCGTGAAAAGCAAGTAGGAAAGAAGAAGAAAACTAATGACATGTTTTGTCCTTGCTGCCAGGAATCCTATATTGAGCATCCTACAGAAGACTGGATTCAATGTAACACGTGCGAGAGTTGGTGGCACGAGTCGTGCACAGTCTACGAAAAAGATGGCACATATTCCTGCGACATTGTTTATAATCGTCATCTTGCCCCTGTAGGCGCGTCATCTTACCCCGGTACTGGGGCAAGTTGACGAAAATGCACTTTTTTGTTTTTTTCTTTATATTTTTTCAAGAGTACACTTTTTTTGTTTTTTATGTTTCATTATGTACCTGAATAAATGTACTAACAGATGAAATGGGATCTTTTTTTTAAATCCGTTAGTACGCGTTTTGGAGCCTTTTGTATTTTACTTCGCCAACTTGCCCCGATCTCCCCTACGTAAAACAATGATTTTTTACAAAATAATAAAATTTTGAAAATTATACAGGGTGAGTCTTAAATAAGTGCAAATATTTTCAGGGCTGGTAGATCTCAATAAAAGAAACATATTTTCTCTTTACCGTTTTTCAAATAAGTCCAAAATAACCGAGACATTTTACTTTAAAAATTTAAAAAAAAAATGATTTTTCGCTTAAATTTTGAGAATCACTGGATCTTTTCTGGGTTTTCTACTACCTAGGTATATTGACATATTATTTTTCAAAATTATTTTTTTGTAAAAAAAACCTCATTCATTCCTCAGGCGTTTCTGGGGACAAAATATAATATCCCTATAAATATTTGCACTTGTTTAAGGCAAACCCGACATATCTGATATACTGATAGGGTGTCCCAATATTCCGTGGACATAGGACTACTACGTATTTTTGGAATCAAAACAAGTTCAATGGACACAATTAACCTCAATCCAAGTGCTTCGTTTGTCCGTTAGAGGGCATCAAACTTTAAAAAAATAATCACATTCTTTCAGATATTTTTAGAACCGTTATTCCGATTTGAATCAGATTTTGGGTGTCTATATTTTGCCAAGTGCTTTATTCAGCCACCGTGCGTACTTTTTGAGGAAAAAAAATATTATTGCGCAGCTTAAAAAATTTAATCAATTTTAAATTAATTAACTTATTTTTGATTGATGCCCTCTAACGGACAAATGAGGAACTTTTGTATAAAAGTAAATTATGTGCAATGAACTTATTTTGATTTAAAAAATACGTGGTTGTTCTATGCCCACAGAATATTAGAACGGTATGGAAAAAATACATTCTCCAAAAAAATGTTTCTCTAAAAAACTATGCGAGAAAAAAATGTTTCTCTAAAAAAAATATGCGAGATGACACATGTGTTTTGAAACACCCTGTACAATTTGTTATAAGAATATACTGACCTTCAATCTTATTTATCCTTTCCAGGGGAATCCTGTAGACGAAGGCGCACACGTGTCGTCCGTCCAGAGCAACCAAAAATTCCCGCTCCGCAGTCACGAACTGCAATTCGAACGTCTCGTTCCTTTGAATGTGAAATTTTTCTACGGATGTCGTCTCCTCATCGCCCCATGAATTATTAATTCGGGCATTTCTAACTATATATCTGGAATCGAACCGGCTCGCATCACAAGAAGAATCAATGGAGAATATAATATGAAATATGCATAAGCGTATATCTCTTTTAGATGTAGGTGGAATATGATATAGGATGTAGGCCATGCGAATTGCATAACCCGGCTTTAGTTACATAGGGCCCTTGAATAAAAAGATTGAGGAAGGAGCATATGAAAAAACTTAGATCGACCGCGACGGTGACCTAAAATGGCTGACTTAAATTCCGGTTTATCGGTGCCGTTCTAATTTTATTCAAAACGTGTAAAAATATGATGTAGGGTAGGTAGTCAATAATTTGTTGTTGTATTTTACGTTGTCAATAAATGTTGTTAATTATTAACATTGTTATAAAAATATATAATTCTAATAAAAATAGATTTTATAATAATTATTTATCAGTGGCGGCTTAACCCTAAGGTCAAATGGTCAACGCTCCCCCAAAAAAATCAGAAGAAAATTAGGAAAAACCTATTTAAATTATACTTTTAGTAAATAACTTTTTTTGATCCTAAGATATTCTAAACTATGTATTCCCAAAAACCATCAACTTGTCCAATTTTCGCTTCAAAACGTTTCATTTTACCCATTTTCTCTACTGCCGGTCAAAATTTCATTTTGTCCTTCGTTCCCGCTATGTTTTGCACGTATTAAGCGGCGCGCAAACTAGAGCGATGGCGGGCGCGGTGGCGGATGCGGTGGCGTTGCGGACAATATTGGTACATGTAACTAAATTGAAGAGAGCACACTACCGCGATCTGGCAAACGCGCCCGCCTTTTCTTGCAGCGAACTACCGCGTGAAACTTTGCGGACGGCGGTACAGCAGATTAGAACGCTGCATGCACCATTTGCCCGCCAGGTCGTACTATATTTAACAAGTAGAATCACCCTAGTTATCATGTGTAATACAGAAAAAAAAAATTGAAAAAGTGTGTGCGCTACCAATTTTTGTATGATTTATCTAATAAAGCCAAGAGTAATAGTATATTGTTTTATTAAGAGTAAAAATGATACTTTTCGTGGCGAAGTTATACGTTTCACGCGTAAAAATGCTTTATTTTTACGCCTAGGCGTTAAAATTGCGTTTTTATATTGTCAATCACGTCGTAAAAATTAATACTTCTGTGACGTTGGAAAAAAATATGTTTGTTCAATGTTCATTATTACAAAAAATGAAAATTTGTCACAATCTTCTCTAAACGGTGCTGACACTGACCGCCAATTAGCTCTGTTATCTATGACCGCGGACCGCCTTGGTGTGCGGATGTTCACGATCGCATTGTGACCGCACCGCTACCGCTTCCGCCTCCGCGCCCGCTGCCGCTCTGGTCTACGCGCCGCTTTAAACTCCAAATGCCGCGTCTCGCAACGCCAACAATGTAAGGTATACTACGTATAGAAAATATAACGGGTTAAGGTGCGATAGATATAGTTTATATTGGCCATTGACCGCGTCATTCATACAAGGATTTCAGTCGTTGGAAAAATTTCGCCATTTGACCAGTTTGGGTGTTTATAAAAACTCAAATTATAAAACAACCTAGGTTTTTGTATCGTTTATCGCGTATAATGTTTGGTTTAGTCAATATAAAGCAATATTTAAATTTTTAATATCGAAAGAAATCCCATCTAGTTTGAGGTAATAATTCATAATTTTCTGGTTATGGATAAATTATGAACTGTGGTTGACTGATTCTAGAATAGATATTTTAAAATAGACAACATGGTGTTTAGTTTGTGAAATCGTGCGGTTAAAAGAAAACAATTGCTTAAATTACTAAAAACCTTTAGAGAAAGAACGCCGCATTGACTTAAAATATAAAAAAAAAATGTGAAATAAAACTTTAGAATTGTGTATACCCCGCTGGCAAGCAAACCTTTAGGTCGGCGTTACATGTATAGGAGTGAGTCGTTATGGCAATCTAGTAAGTCGGAGTGAGCAAAAATACGAAGTGTTTATTACCTAACTACTTAATCTGACGCTAGAATCCATGCGCTTGGAAAAATACTCACCTTCTGTCTTTATTCAGTACATCTTATTTTACTAAGCGTGTTGACCGTACTCTTCGTACACATGAAAACCGGCACCCAAGACCAGAAATGCCGACCCTTAGTATGTATAATTTATATTTTTGTGACATTATTATTTAAGTGTATTTTAAATCCTACCGTGAAAAATTTGTGTAAAGAACATTGACTGGATTTTTAGTGAAATGGCACTAGACCACCTGTTTAAAAATGTAAGGGTAGGTTTCATTTTAACAAAATGTATATTTATTTTCCTTTAACCGAGCCTTTAACTAAACGTACAAGTGCCTTGTAAGAAACCAATTAAATATGGGCGCGTCCGAGGGCGCGTCTTAAAAAAAATCGACGCAATATTTTTAGATATTGACATCCCTATAATAATGATCACGAGCCGCCACTGTTATTTATTAACACAAATATTCAATCCGCTACGCAGGTAAGTCAAATTTGCTGTCCTCCTTTCACGCAGTTGAGCAGCTCTGAACTGTTCAAGAACGCGATACTCTCACTCCATTCAATTGAGGCATAAAGTTCCAGAACTGTTCCGCGCCATATGGAGGCACGAGGCTATCGCGCACAGCTCCTTTCAGAACCGTTTTCGAGTAGCCCCAGGGCGTAAAGCCCGGAGCTCGAAGTTCGCGAATGGAGGACAGCAATTGACGTATCTAAATTCTTTGACTGTTACCTTTGACAAGTAGTAAATAAAAAAAGCAAGAAAAACATATAAATAATTAGTTAATTTTAAGTGAATTCCGTGAAAATAATGATCGGTTTCCTACATGTATATTATATCGTGGGGTTACAAACAAAACACACTAAGTCCGATTATTTTAATTTTGATTTATTTATATCACTTGACTAGATTTCTTCCAGAATATAGATCTATATCCAGGAAAAATCTACTATACTACCTTCTAAGAATTATTAGTTTAATTTTTAAATTACTTTCATATTTATAATCCATAATGGCGCTATATTAGTTCAATAAAAATCCATTAAAAATGTATTCGTTTTTGGATTTATAGACTATATAGTCACTTACTAGTAAAAATAAAATAATCTACTATTAAATAAGCTCAGTAAAGAGTTACAAATCCACAAAATTCCAAATCAAATTCAAATAAGTCAAATGAATCGTCTAACAGAACCGTCAAGGATCCCCACCCCTAGAGCCCTCTACCTCCGTCTACCATGCATGGATAGCATTATACTCCTCCTTTAATCATTTTACTCGAAGTAGATAAAGAGATAGATATTAAAAGAAATAAGTGCAAATACTTTTAGGGGGTAGTATATTTCTACCCCAGAAACGCGATTATGACGATTTTTTCGCGAATTTTTTTTTGAAAATTAGGAATTTAAAAAAAAAAGTTTTTTCTTTTAGTTTTGAGTTTAAAACATAATTTTTTGATAATATGGCAACATTAGGTGGTAGATTAAATTTACAAGAAAGAACAGCCCGAAAAGATCCAGAGGTTCTCAAAATTTAAGAACTCCGTTATCTTGGACTTATTTAAAAAACGGTAAAGAGAAGATACGTTTCTTTAATCGAGATCTAGCAACCCTGAAAATATTTGCACTTATTGCACCTTGTACATTAAAGGTAATGTTAAATCTATATTATTTTTGTTTCACATACTCAATGTTATTATTTGTAATTTGTATTTTTTTAATTAACTAATTTTAACATATTACACTTACACACAAATTATTATTTTTTAATTAGGCATTTAATACAATAATTATCTATTGACTATATTATATGTTTTATTGAGAATTGCTTACCTTAGAGCCAGTCTAGGATTGAAATGAAATACAACATCTGTCTTCGCCCCTCGAACTGATAAGAAATTAATCGCAAATCTAAAACATAATTTTAAGTAAAAACACTACCTACTCAAAACAATTATCGCATATTTGAATAAAAGTAATTATTACATATTTCTAAATGAAGCATGCATTTTTCTGCCTTTCTCTTGTGAGTTTTTTAAGGTAATTAGGGTACGCACTGACATGTAATTTTTAGTCGGCCGACTATTTAGTTGCAAAAGTAAAAACAATACATTTTTATGGAGCCGATAGGCCCAAATTGATTTGCTTTAGGCTATACGCTCACAGGCAATTTTTAATCGGCCGACTATTTAGTTGCATATATTTTTAACCAATATAGGGTAGCGCACCTCATTCGCCTCGGTTGATTATACGAAAACGGAAAGATGTAGAAGCAAAATATTTTATGGGTATATGTAGAGAAGCAATGTGCATTATTTAAAATTATTTTCATATGTACAGGGTGTGTCAGAACTAAGATCCATACCAAAATTATATTTTTTCTTATGGAACACACCCGGTATTTTATTTCATTTTTGGATTCTTGGGCATAAAATAAGGCATTTATTATAAGGGTTTAATATGTTTAAATGCTTAGGTTTTTGAGATATTTAAAGATATTTAAATATGCATGCTATAATAAAAAACCCAGTACAGGGTGTTTGTCAACACCCTGTACGACATTTTTTAGAGTTAATTCTTGTGCTGACTTTGAAGCCAGAGAAATAAACTTTACTAAATTTTTTTATTGCTTCCTTAAATGTATACAGGGGTATCAAAAATTGCTGGTCTATTTTAAATATTTATTTTATATAAAAACTTCGTTATTTTAAATACAACACTACGTATTTTTTTAAATAAGTCGAAGCAGATTTAAACGCTCTTTCAAACTACATTAGGGTTTCCTATACCTATATGGCTCAGATTTTCAATAAAAAGCAATTTTTTAATAAAATGGTAATCAAGATGGCTGGTGTCGATTAGGGCATGGCAATTTGCTAGTGACTGTTAGTAGCTAAATCAAAATCGACATTAGTTTATGGACTATATTTAAATTTATAACAGTTTACTTTTATTTAATTTACCTACTATAGTTTAATAAGTAAGTACCTATTTATTATTTTATGATGAAAAATAAAGAAGTAGTTCTTTGATTTATATTACGATGACTTGTAAATATATTAGATTTTCTATAAAAGAACCAATTAAGGCAAATTCATTTTCTTCACTTCCAACGACAGGTTTCTGCCTAATAGGTTTGTCATATACCACAATATTAGACAGTTAAAGCAAGGCACAATACTTATACGTATCTCTCGACACGTAACGCAGAAACTTGCGTTACGTCTGCCGTTGCGTTGTCGTGTAAACAAGAGTTGAAGCAAGTATTTTGACGTACGTAACGCAAATGGTACATTTGTAATTCTAAATTATTTTGTGAAACAATTTAATTTTAAAATTGAAAATGGATATCTATTATTCCATTGCTTCCACATTAAATTTATAAAAGTAATATCGAAAACTGTAGTCCTTACAACTTAAAATGCTCTTCGTAATAAAAAATATTGGAAAACAGACACAGCTTTATGATTATTTATTAGATTCCATCTTTTAGAATCCTCATATTGTTTTGCCTATAAGAATTAGCATTTAATTAAATAGATTCCAAAATGAGTTTATTATGATGCTTAATATTTTCATACTAATTTATTGTAATAAAATAGAACCAGTTCTGTGACACTGGCCCCAAAATTTATGAAATAAAAAAACGAAACAAACGTGAAAATCGAAACTCCTTCGGCTCGATACGTTTGCGTTTTGTACGTACGTAAAGGCACGTAAAGATACGTATCGTATCCGTAAACGCAAGTGAATTTCTCACTGCGCAAGAGTACATGTCAAACGATACGTTTACGTTCTGTTTACGTCTACGTCTTTGGTCGTGCTTTAACTGTCTACTGTCTATTAGCTCTGCGAAATAGGAAAAGTAGTTTTTCAAAGGAACGCTTGTCAAGAAAATTCCTATTTGGATATCTTTGAGCATAAACCCTTCAGGCCAACAAGCAATTAATTGTCCTCATATAATAAAATCACTAGTATTTTTCTTGATAAAATAATAAAGACTTATTTATTAATATTACTGTAGGCAAATTAAATAAAAATATCCTGTTATAAATTTAAATAAAGTGCATAAACTAATGTCGATTTTGCCCTGACGACACCAGCCATCTTGATTACAATTTTATTGAAAAATCGCTTTTTATTCAAAATCTGAGCCAGATAGGTGTAGGAAACCCTAATATAGGTAGTTTGAAAGAGCATTCAAATCTGCTTTGGCTTATTTAAAAAAAATTACATAGTAGTGTATTTGAATAACAAAGTTTTTATGTAAAATAAATACTTATAATAGACCTGCAATTTTTGATACCCCTCTATACATTTAAGGAAGCAATAAATTTTTTTAGTAAAGTTTATTTCTCTGGCTTGAAAGTCAGTACAAGAATTAATTCTGAAAAGTAATGTATAAATATATAATAAATACCTTTAAATATCTCAAAAACTAAAGCTTTTAGACATATTAAACCCTTATAATAAATGCCTTATTTTATGTCCAAGAATCCAAAAATGAAATAAAATACCGGGTGTGTGTGTTCCATAAGAAAAAATATAACGTTGGTATGGATCTTACTTCTGACACACCCTATACATTGGAGAATAATTTTAAATTATGCACATTGCCTTCCCACATATACCCATAAAATATTTTGTTTTTACATCTTTCCGTTTTCGAATAATCAACCGAGGCGAATGAGGTGCGCGCCACCCTGTATATCCTTATGGAGCCGCTCTCACATGCAAAATAGTCAGCAGATCGGCTCCATAAGTATGTATATGTATTGTTTTTACTTTTGCAACTAAATATAGTCGGCCGACTAAAAATTACAAGTCAACGCGTAGGCTTATTGTTTCGAATTTCCCTTCTTAGTAACCAAACTATTTAAAACTGTAAGTCAGGGAGTTCAAAATGTCTTGTCTTTCAAATTAATATTTTTTTAGAAAATATGCGATTATTGTTTTGTGTAGTTTATTTTGTTAAATGTTATCATCCAAATAAAAATAACACATCATTATAAAATTAATCATTTCAAACTGTGTCATTTCTAAGTATATGACTCATATATTTTGAATAAATTAATTAAATAGGAAGATTAAATTAACAAAAAACATTGAAATTAGGTAGGTCAGGGAATATTTAAAATTGTTTGTCATTAAAAAATAAACAAACATCGGGCAACAGCGCCACCCTATATTTTGACAAAATCAAAGTTGACGTAAATTCGCCCTAGTAATATTAATTTTTAAAAGTGCCTATTATATCAGATTTTATCAGATTATATCAAGAATAATAAATGAAAACAATAGTGCATTAAAAATATAAAGAAACATATGTTTTATGACCCAGTGCACCTTACTTGTGTCGATAAACAACGGTAAGAATAAACATAACCTTTCATAGAACCTACATTAAGTAAATATTTACATACAAGTGAAATACAAATAGCACAACAGAAAGGTACAAACCTTTTACACTCACTCCTGATTTTTCCTTTTATAATGATGCAGCACCCAGGTGTGAGAGACTGTACTATCTCTTCAGAATATGCCGGTCCATCATTTTTGTGATCGATCTGTTGGTCAACGAGAACAAAATCATAATCTAGAGCATCTGTCGCTAATTCCATTTTGTCGCATCGAAAAATTAATTTAATAATAAATAAATTGCAAGGCACATATCCCTCTCTATAAAATAAAAGAACTTAACACAGAAATACTACGGTACACCTATCTTTGTTCGACATGAAATAAAGCCAATTACATTGTGTCGACGGCCATGTTTTTTCTCTCTTCTTTTCACAAATGAATACACCAGGAAAAATATCAACACAACGAAGCAAAATCCATCGCTGTTGATGATCGTCACACTGGAGTAAGGAACTTCTTTAATTAGAGTTATGTATTTTGACAATTTTCTATGTTTGGTCATTGAAGAAATTTGTTTTACGAAAAGGAACAAGGAAACCGGCAGAAATATTATGACGTTCAAATTGTCGATAGTTGCGCACCGATGTTGCCAGCTATTTTTAAAAATATCACTTTCTGATTTTTTTCAGATATTGATTAAATAATTAATATTTTATTATTCACCATTTAGGGTATTTAACATTTGAAGTATTTATATAGATTTTATATCGACAGTTTTAATTTTTAGATGTTTTTTACGAGAACTGAATTTCAATTAACAAAGTTAATGTGATAATTTCTATTCCTAGAAGCTGTCTCATAGGTATTAATAATAATATCTTCTGGTAAAAGTGGTGGAAAGTTGTTTAAAGGTTATAAAGAAACATATTAAACATTAAATGAATTATAACATGCATCTAAATGGTTTATTCTTACTTCATTTAGGAGAAACGACTGTTTTTCGCTCTTCTTTCGCTTAGGATAGCAGCAACAGCACCCAAAACACTTTCTTTTTTGTTTCGTTGGATTTTCGTTGGTTTGTTTTACACCGGGCATTTTAATCAAAGCAAGAACCTGACTGATATTGAATCGGTTTGTTCTCAAATCGAGGAAAAAACTTTGGCGTCCTCCAGTTATAAAAATAACACATAAAAACTGAACTATATCGTATTTTTAGCGCTTACTGTTGTGGTCGATTTTAACGTTTACTCCAGCGATCGAAAACCTAGTCGAATCAAAACAAAAACAGCTGTAGTAAATACCTACGATGCAGTGTGGTGAAAACGTTAATGAGTAATACCTGTTGGAATTGTGACAACACCCATGTACACGTATTTCCCTATCATCTATTTAAGTAATCATTGCTACTTAATGGTTTGTTCATTGCATCATTGTTTTAAATAACTATTAATATATATATATATATATATATATATATATATATATATATATACTATTAGGGTTAATAGAAAGGTTACATGTTAATCAATAATAGAGACACTGTAGTTATTTATAATACAGAATATTAAAAATAGCAGGAATGTTGTATTCTGAACAAATGAATTTGAAGTCTTCTTCAAAATCAAAATGTATTTCAGAAATTAAAACCCGGTTGGTACTGTTCAACTGTACTTAGGCCAAGTGAAGAAGTGAAGGGTCCGACTTGTATCTAGCCCCAGCAGGCAACTATTAAGCCCGACCAATCTCAGAATTTTTGACCAAACACAAATGAATTAACACCCTCCAAATAACCACGCTAACCAACCTGATTGGTCAAGCTTAATAGTTGCCTGCTAGGGCTAGACTACGTCTGAAAAAAAGTCTAAAAGGGGATTTGAAAGACCTTTCACATGAGGTATCACTCGGCCCCCCTTTCCATTTAAGAATTTAGTGGTGGCACCTCCCCCGCCTTTGGGGTTATAGGTGTGAAAGTGATTTTATGATATTTTCTTTTCCCCCTCGAAAACTAAATCGATGTGTCCGAGCGTTTTACCAAATTTTAATTTTAAAGGAGAAAATATGGGGTGAAAAGTTTCCATTGGCCCACCCCGTATATGTATACTCTTATAATACTATGCTAGATATAAGTAGTATTATATGCGGTAGCATCCAAGTGTACTTGCAGGGTCCAGGGGAAAAACTTGATAAGCGCCCATTTCTTAATTTTAGGATTTTACAATATTATAGGTCTAACTGGTCCCTACAAAATGTATAAACTCTGCAGGGCAATAAGTTGTTAAATTCTATGATATATGTATAGTAACAATATAGAATATACAGACAGAACCTGATAACCACCAGGCGTCCAGTGATCTGTAAAATCAGTAAAATAGCGCTTATCATGTTTTTACCCCAGATCCTAGAAGTGATCCTAAAAATTTTAACTAATCAATCTGCATCGATCCACGCCCAAAAATCTTTCACTTCGGAATAAGTGAAAAATGCTCAATTTTGTCCGGGAAAATTTTTAGAAATTTTAAAAAATAAAAATTGCTTTTTAAGCTTTTTTATTTAAAAGCTTAATTTTTAGTATACATAGTTTGCCAAAAAAATACATACAGCATGAGATAAAAAAAACGATTTTTTCACCACTTAGCTGATAAATTTTTCACCACACCACTTAACCTTTTTAATAATGTATACTCTAGCCTGAATAACCATCACTCTACAGCTACAATTTTCTGTGATTGCTCTAAGGCTTTCGACTGTGTAAATCATAATATCTTAATTAACAAATTGCAATACTATGGATTCAGGGGAGTGCCGCTCGAATGGCTTAAGTCGTACCTTGGCAACAGAAGGCAGCTTGTGAGGATTGATACGTCTATGTCTTCTTGTAAGCCTATAGAATGCGGTGTCCCTCAGGGTTCAGTACTTGGCCCTATTTTATTTCTGGTGTTTATCAACGACATTGCAAGTATAGACATTAGCGGTAAAATCTGCCTCTTTGCGGACGACACTAGTTTCATTTGGAGCGGCCCAGATGTTACGGCACTATATAGTACCATATCCAGTGACTTACGCACCATTAAATCTTGGTGCGATTCTAATCTCCTATGCCTCAACCTTTCAAAAACTAAAGTTTTGTCATATAAAAGTACTAACAACCTTTTGTACTTAATAACACCACTATTGACGTCGTGGACTCTGTGAGATTCTTAGGACTTGTTGTAGACAACTCGTTAAAATGGGACTTGCACATCGAAGCCTTATCAAAGAAACTAAGCTCTGCCTGTTTTGCACTAAGATCAGTTTCTAAGGAACTTAACTCATCAACCTCTAGAATGGTCTATTATGCCCTTAGTCGCATCTTCGTTATGCCCTTCCATTCTGGGGTACCTACTTGCTGCGCGACAAAATTTGATCGTATTTTCAAACTTCAAAAGAGAGCAGTTCGATACTTATTGGGACTAAACAGTAGAACTCACTGCCAGAATTTCTTTAAAAATTTCAAAATATTGACTCTTCCTTCCTTATTCATTTTTGAATCCGTTTGCTTAATCCGCAAGCACATATTCTCTATTCCGGAAAGGCCTTCTCACAACTATCCACTTAGGAATGCGGAGCACGATATTTATCTGCCAACCCCGAGCTCAGAACTAGTTAAGGGCTCAATACTGTACAATGCCAAGAAAATGTACAATCATTTGCCTTCGAATATCAAGTCACTTTCATTCTTTCCCGTATTTCGCAAAGCTCTGAAATTATACTTACTGGAGAGAGCCCTATATGCGGTGAACGACTTTTTTGATGATGTTTAATCATGAACAATTTTGAATTTTAAAATTTTGATCATCTCACACACTGGTCAAAAGTCAAGTATTTAATATTTTATAACTCTTAAGATTATATATCCATTTACAATCTTCCTATTGTAAAATTTTATTGATACGCCTTTTTAGTGTTCTGAAATAATTGTTCATGTATTTGTAATTTTGATGACTTAATTTTTTTTTAATTGTATGATTTGTATTGTGTATTTTTTATTATTTGTATGTTTTTTATGCTTTTGTTTGTTGTGTAAATGCTTTGTCGATGAAGCTATTTTGGCTTTTTGCATAATAAAGCGTTATTTATTATTATTATCGCTGACGCCGATTTTTTTTCCAATCATACGATATTTGAAAAACCTTCGCCAATTTGTCACAAAACGCTCGTCTCAGAACTATTCAAAAATTGCTTCAAACTTTATACAGGATGTCCCAGAAATAAGTTCAGATATGTTAACTGGTAGTATATTTCGACCCCAGAAACACGCCTATGAGATTTTTTTTGCGAAAAAATATTTGGAAATTTTTTTAGTTTTTAGTTAATAAACATTATTTCTTGATAATATGGCAACATTGGTAGTAGATTAAATTTACAAGAAAGAAAACCCAGAAAAGATCCAGTGGTTCTCAAAATTTAACCCAAACAATTTTTTTTTGGAACTTTTCGAAGTAAAATAACTAGGTTATTTTGGACTTATTTGAAAAACGGTAAAGAGAAAATATATTTCTTTTATCGAGATTTACCACCCCTTAATATATCTGTACTTGTTTCTGGGACACTGTAGAAATTGCGAGAAGACCGCTGGGATATACAGGGTGTCCCAGAAGTAAGTGCAGATATTTTAAGGGGTGGTAGATCTTGATAAAAGAAACATATTGTCTTTTTACTGTTTTTCAAATAAGTCCAAAATAACCTAGTTATTTTACTTTGAAAATTTCCAAAAAAGAAAGATTTTTTGCTTAAGTTTGGAGAACCACTGGTTCTTTTCTGGGTTTTCTTTCTAGTAAATTTAATCTACAACTAAGTAGTAGTAGAAATAAAACAACTCAAATTCAAGATGAAGTATATTTTTTTTATTTACAAACAAATATAATTTTATAAAAATTTACAATTTAATACTTTTATAAAATAGATCCATTTTTAAGGCATCTATACAGGTCACAGACGAATAATGTAACATTAAAAATACGGGAAAAAATAACAATACATAACAGCAATGATAATAATGGAATAAACAGTTACGATGAAAAAGCAACGCAACGCCAACACAAAATAACAGTTGCTAAATATTTTTTTATTTTAGTTTTTGTTCATATTAATAATTTCTCTATAAACACTACTACGCATCGGGAATGAACTATTTAAATAGAAATAAAATTAAATGCCTTTATACTAAATTGTTTTGGTATTTTAACTAACGTACCTAATAATACATTAAAATATATAAAATACATTTTTAAAAGTTTCCTGATAATAATAAAGCTTTAAAATATAAATTGTTAAGGAAATCAGAACAATGTGATTAAAATATGTGAATCAAGAGAACGTGACATTAATAATAATTACTCAATAATAATTGTAATACAATATTTAATTTATTTGCGTATGGATTCTTTTTTGGGTCGTATTTTTACAACAGAATCCGAGATATTTGGTAACTTTGAGTATACAGGATGAAAAAATGACTTTGCAAGTTTTTTTCTGTATTATTAACTACGACCTAAAGCTATAAAAATGTTAGAAAGTTTTTTAAAAATTAAAATTTAATCTTTTTAATTATTACCGCGTATATGATACTTTATTCTTCTAGTTTAATTCTTATTAACAAAAAATGCCAACAAATACTGTATAAGTAATGCATTAGCGAATGAAAGTAGCATTTATAGTAACAATTAATAGAGTAAGAGCTAGCAACGTTTTCGAGAAAGTATTTTAAGACGTCTGGTTCTTTGATATATATTTTACTATGCTCTCTGGAACAGCATACGGCCCGTCTGGCTGCCGATACCCGTTGCGTTCACTACTGCGCATTGAAAGAAGATCCTATATTTTTTATTAATTTATATTGAATATAAATCGAACATGTCTCCATAGCGCAGTGCGTAGAGTTTCCGACCACGAACCGAAGATTCAGAGTTCGAATCCGGGTCAGGTCAAAGACTTTTTTATTTTATTTTCGTTTATATTCTGATAGTAAAGTATTAAAAAGTAATTATGGTGATTCAAAAACAAATATTTAATACTTTACTATCAGAATATAAAGTAGGATTTATAAACTCACAGTTGGATTTGGCTTTGGCGTTGGCGCCGCCGCCCAATTCTTAAAACTGTATATTACCATAAGAGCATTTATAAACACGGTTGGCGTTGGCTTTGGCGCCCGGTTGCCGTCGGACTTAAATTATGTTTTACTTTTTACCGTTCGCGGCGGTTCGCCGTCCGTAGCACCACGTAGCAATGACGTTACAGCCAATAGAATAGTAAAGAGCGATCACGTGTTGCTTTGTTTACATCTAGTTTTGAAGTATGCTAATTCCAAATTTATGGTCACTCCCAATAACCCTAATAGGGTAATTTCATCAAGACCATTACTTTCCAAATCCATAATTAAAAATCTTGAACAAAAAACCAAAACTTTAAACACTTTCGTCTCTAAAAACGCACTATAGACTCTGCTACTCTTAAGTAAAAAGTAAACAAAAATGTACGGTTAGATCTGCCCAAAACGGCCAAAGCCAACTGTCAACCGTCGAGTTTATAAATGCGATTTTGCGGCGCTACGAACAGTCGACGGCAAATCCAACGCCAACGCCAAATCCAAAGCCAACTGTAGAGTTTATAAATCGACCTTAAACGAAAATAAAATAAAAAAGTCTTTGCCCTGACCCGGATTCGAACTCTGAATCATCGGTTCGTGGTCGGAAACTCTACGCACTGCGCTATGAAGACATGTTCGATTAATATTCAATACTAGAATTTAAAGGACTAATAAAAATACAGGATCTTCTTTCAATGCGCAGTAGAGAACGCAACGTTTACCGGCAGCCAGACGGGCCGCATGCTGTTCTAGAGAGCATAGTAAAAGATATATCAAAGAGCTTCAAGTTTCTCTCGTACTATAATTATAGTTTCGATCTCGCTCACTCCTTATGTCACTTACGAAGTGACATTAAAATTTGTCAAAAGGTAATATTTAATATAGAAAAAAAAATTGTAACCCATTTTTTGATTGCAAAATATATACTTTGTGAATGAAGCAATATTACAAGAACTATTATTCTGGAAAATAAAATATACAGGGTGGTCCGAACTGTATTCCGGAAACTTCGGCAGAATATTCTGCACAAAAAATACTACTAACCCAAAATAAGTTAAAATTGAACATTGTGGCAATAATATCCATATGGCATAGTAGAATAATGACGTAAAAACTCACAAAATCTTTGTTCATCCTGTACTTTCGTAATACTTAAAAGAAAATAATAAATACCTAAATAGTCTTTTGTACTATTAGAAAGAATAATACCGCGAAATGATCTGATCGCACTAATGTGTGAAAATAAACTTTTGACCACAGCTTATTCAATACCAGCAGATTATTTCTGAATATTTTCGACATTGCGCGCATGGTCTTACTACGCATATAACCTCCGTACCTAATTCCTCATACTCGGCGCCACGAGATACCCAGCTGAATATTGAATAAGATATACCTTAACCTACGTACAGAGTACAATTAAGGCCATATACGCCTAACCAGTAAAGAAGCGTACATAACGACGGAAGCATCTTTTCAAAAATGTTTTTTTAGCAAAAATACGTTTTTAGTAAAATGGAGTAAAGTGTAAAAATCTAATTTATCAAATATTCTGTTAAGTATTATTGCAATCGCGCTTTCGTTGTAAAGGTCAGCCTCCTTATTGCCTCTTGACATTTTTAAAGAACCACTCGGTGAATTTACGCAGCTGATGCACAGCCGCCTGCGCTTGTTCCTGGAACTTTTGGTTTTCGTCTCTCAAGCGTCTGTTTTCCCTTTCCAGCGTTTGGATTTTTCGGTTCAGTTCCACGACGTGCTTGTGCTGGTCGGGGATGCTCCTGAAAACATACAATATATTTATGTTTTTTGGCTATCTATGACTTAATTCTTTATAAACATGTTTTGAGGTCAATCTTTCAGCCAACTTAAATACAAGTTAAATCGTTACCACCGAGAAAAGAAGGCAGTATGCAGGGTGGTCCGAACTGTATTCCGGAAACTCCGGCAGCACATTCTGCAGATAAAAATAAGTAAAAAAGTTCGTATATGCATGTCCTAAATTGCTTAGTTTCGGAGATACAGGGTGTAGAAGTTTTATTTTTATTTCGTTTTTTTTTCCCAAATAATTTCTGAAGTAACGTCAATATTTGGATTAAAATTAGTATCTGGAAGTTTTTTGACACGAGAAATTGTTCTAGTTGTAGGGGGCGTCACCTACATATTTTTTAAATGGTTTGAAGAGTAACACCTTTTCTTTCGTACCTGTATAAAACTACTGAGTAAAAAGATATACATTTACGACGTTTTTTAGGTAAAAAAGGTGTCTTTAAAAAGGTTCTATTTGGAATCTAAATTATCAATACTTGTCATCATTGACATAAATTAAAGATGCGTTGACTAAATAGTTATTAGATTGAAATTATAAATCTGAAATTTTTTTGTGCCAAAAGTTCAACAGAAACAAGTTTTATCATCATTTTTTCGAAGAAAAATTTATGATTAAGTTATTATTTAAAAAAATAAAAAGTTCGCAAATTTATCATTTCAGCCAAATAACTATCTACTCAACATGTTTATTTTTTGTCAATAATGACATGTATTGACTATTTCCTTTCTAAATATCTTGAGAACGGTTGTTCATAGCGATTTTTACCAAGAGACATTTTTGACGTAAAAAATCACGGAAATGTATATTTTTTCACTCAGTAGTGTTATACGGGTATGGCGGAGAAAAGTTATTACTCTTCAAAACAGTTAAAACACATATATGTAGGTGGCGCCCCATACAAATAGGAGTCATATTGACATCAAAATCAAATTTCTCAGACAACTCCCAGAGTAATTTTCATCCAAATATTGACGTTACTTCAGAAACTCTGTGGAAAAAATCGAAATAATATGCTCCGAAACCAAGCATTTTAGGACATACATTTATAAGAACTTTTTTACTTACTTTTATCTGCAGAATAAGCTGCCGAAGTTTCCGGAATACAGTTCGGACCAACAGACGGAAGGCAAGCGACAGAAATCTATAGATACACGATATAAATTTTGATTGCAAGATTTTTTTATAGGTTATCATGATATTAAAAATTATCATTGCTGTCGATATAATTTGCAAGACTGTGTTAAGGTAAATAAATAATGTAGATAAAGGTTTTGTATTAAAAATTATGAGAGATTCATATTTCTTTTAGTGATGGGCAAAACTCTTATTTTTAGATAACAGTTGAAACTGTTATAGTTATTTATAAAAAACAGCTTAAAAATAACAGGTTTCTTTATTTTACTGCTAAATATCTGAAAGAGTATGAGGCGGTCACCGCCAGGCGTATTCACGCAGTTGCAAGTTGCAACAATGACGTGCTTGGTGGTAGTATTTCCAGGGTGTCAAAACATTTCTAAATATCGATTGTTATCTAAAATACCTCTCTAAAAACGGTGGTTGTTTACAAATAAGCGCTGTTTACAAATTGCGATATAAAAAAAGCCAAAATTCCGCCACTCGTCTATACCTATACATTCCGATCTACCTACGCACTGCCCCTCGATCCGCGTAGATCCTGAATTGCGTAGCAGTGTACAGGCTGCATCTCACTCGACGGGCGAGAAGCTCTTAGTTATGATTTTACCATTTGCGGTCAAAAAATAGCAATATAAGAAAATGTGTAGTATATTCTTCATAAGTAAACCAAACTACACACTAGAGTTCGAATTAATTTTACACTTAAACTAGCGTGTACCCGCGACTTAGTTCGCGTTGAATTAATAATTTCTAATGGTGATGATAAAGCAAAACAAGAATTTCCATTAACATACAAACTGGATAAAATTTTCTCACATTTGCCAAAAATAAGCTTTCTAACGTCGAGCAGTTTAAGCAGAATCGTGGTTAATCAATTACTCAACTTTTTGGAACACCCTGTATGATTTTTAAGAAAATTTCAAAATATATAAAAAAAACAAAATAAATTATGCGTGTCCAGGCGTATTCCCGAAAGACTAACCGTTTTTTAAATAATAAGTATTGTAATATTTGAGGGGCGTTTTCACCCTGTTGGAATTTGAGATTCGAGAAACCCCTCCTTATCGAACCTCAATCCCACAGTCAATCCGTTTGCAAAAAATCAGCTTTAAACGTCAAGCAATTTAAGCAGAATAGTGATTACTCAATGGTCATATTTTATGAAACACCCTGTATATATTTTTAAAAAATCTTAAAATATGTAAAACAACATAATAAAATATACGTGTTTTAAGAGTTTTTCCGAAAAACTCACCGGTTTTTAAATAAAAAATATTCTAATATTTGAGAGTAGTTTCACCCCCTTAGAATTCGAGTTTCGAAAAATCCTTTCTTATCGAACCTCTACACACTAAAGTCAATCCGTTTTCCAAAAATCAGCTTTTTACATCAAGGGCTTTAAGCAGGATCGTGATTAATCAATGACCAGATTTTTCAAAACACCCTGTATACATTTTTAAAAAATCTTAAAATATTATTCTGAAAATTGTTCAGAATATCTCGACCTCCGCCCGTTATGCTCGTAACAGGTTGAAACAGAATGTATCTAAAACTACTGATGCGTTATTCTCCAACCTGTTTCGAACCTCCATCGACAATCGACCGATGCAGCAGCGTTCCTTTCCCACTCCGATTATCTCGACCGCCGCCCTGTTATGCTCGTAACAGGTTGAAAAACAACATATCTAAAATGACTACTTCTCCAACCCGTTGCGAGCCTCCATCGACAATCGACCGATGCAGCGTCGTTCCCCACTCCTGTTATCTCGACCGCCAGGCGTTATGCCCGCAACTGTTTCAAAAAACCTGCCTCTTTTATTTCCTATTATTTTTAAGCTGTTGCAAACCCAATACGACCATCGATGGTATCGACCGAAGCAGCTATGTTCGCCGTAGCGCTTTCCCCGCTCCGTTGTCCGTTGTCTCGCCGCCTGTATCGATGGTTGGCGAAATAACATGTTTTCCATCCATACTAGTTGTTTCTTAGAATTGCTTCGAGCAGCGTAGAATTTCGTGGCGGTGCAGAGCGCCGACTTCGTTTTTCGTTTCACGAGCGGCCGATCTCTACGTGTCGTTATTTTATATCTGTTATTTTTTAGAAGTAGTAACGGTTGCGTTATGTTATTTATAAATAATTGTTATAAAATACCAGATAGTTAAATAACAGCCCATCACTAATTTCTTTGTTTAATTTGCCTAATGTTATTTACATGTATATATTTTTTCGAACTCTGGAATCACAACATTCGCATATTATTATTCGCAAAATACTATTTTTCGCATGTAAATGCGAATACCAGTGGAAGCGCTATCAGATTTTGACGTAACAGATTTTACGTCAGAAATAGAGAAGTTCTTGAGATGGCCTCCCTCCTTGGTAACACTGAAATTCTTTTGACTATTCAATGATAATTTCGAAAAACGAATGTACACTTACGAATACGAGCTGGAGAGATGTTGGTCTCTACGATCCAACCCGATAAATTCATCGTCCCACTGTTTCCCATTCTGTTCTATGTTCTCGTTCTCCGGCAGTGATTCCACCTGCATCATCACACGAGTGGCGGTGTCAACAAGGCTGGGCCAATCAGAGTCGACCGGCAGTGGGAAGTTGTCTAGTAAGGGCAACCCTACCTAAAATTCAGTTGGAATAATTGTAAATTGGGATTGTAAATCCATTATTTACTATCCTAAATCGTAGTACTAGTAGTATTTTAAGTTAACGTCTCCTATTTGCTGCTAAGATTAATATGGACTTTGTTTACGGTGGTACTCCCCATAACATGGGGAGATGGGATACTCCCCATCTTACATTGGCCCCACGTTGGGCACCAATGTAAGATTTTGTTATAGGTGGAACGAAAATAAGTGTTATACTTTTTATATATTATATATTAAATATATATTTGCAATCTTAACGCACCTTATTCTTGCTCGGTGAAGGGAGTCCCTCGTCTTTGGCCATCCGAAATTCATTAGGTAAAGGGCTCGATGTAGTACTGGCATTAGAGATAACTGTCGCTGGTCTCGCCATGGTCAATATCACTTCTGGCTGAGATTTATGGACGGATAATGAATTATTCAAGTTTTCTCTAAAAAAATGGTTATAAATATAGTTCACTTTTAAAACACTAGCGACAGTTACTGCCAGCTAAATTGGTTAAGTACAGAATGTAATAATTAATTAGGGTCTCTGGGATATAGAGATGTCAACCATATAGTCAGAGACCTTAAAATGCTTATGGCCGTGAGCTCTCTTTAAGCATACCTTGAATGTCCTTTAGACATACTAATGTCTTTGGGCTGATCAACTGTCGGTGATGAAGATGACGTCGATGCCGATTCTATATTATCCGGGTTGATCAACCTCATCAGTTCTTCCTTAAAATTATTGGAAGACAAATTGGCACTGTTTCTGTTTGCCGATCGTGACGTTACGCCCGGTCTGAGCTTGGCCTCGCCATTGGTCGTTGTGGCCCTGGGACTTTGGTTTCGCTGGTTGTAACTAACTTGCTGTTGCCTCACTGAGCGGCTGTTTGATCTGGGCGAATGATTACCACTTCCTAAAATCAAAATTAAAAGGATATAGTGTATAAAAATGAAGTGTATTGTTACCGTACCAGTGGATAATTCGTCTTCGCTGCCAATCGTATTGATTCTATCGCTGATCGAACTGTCATTGGACAGGTTGTCGTTTAATTTTAGGTAATCTCCTGTGTAGTCAGCTACTTTTGGAGTTCTAGTAATCTATTTAAAAACAGAAATACTTTAGTTATTATTTAAAGATGCAACCATTTTTCCCTATTTAAATGTCTATAGTGATTGATTAAATATTATACAGTGTTCATATAATTATAATTTTTTGAAAACAAACCTACAAGAAAACGACTATTTCAGATGGAAACTCCTATTTTTGTTCATTTTTACATTATTAAGCTAAAAATAAATACCACTTTATATAAAGTTGTCTATAGTTCATATCAAATAAACTTTTAGTCACGTGATTAAGCTTGACCAGCACAACGTTGTCCACTTTTATATATTTTCTTTTAATCAGAATATTTTAGAAAACAAAGATAAATTAATTATAAATTTATAAACAGTTATTATTTACATCAACAAAACTCAGCTTCTTAACAGCACTTAAAGGACATAAAAAGTCATTACAGTCATTACTACCGCTTTCCCGCCCTCGATTACGTAACTAAAAGTTTAACTGATATCAAATATATTATTAGCATAGTAATTAACAGATCATAACTATCTATGATACAGGGTGTCAAAAAATCATTTAATCGGACTATTAACAATGGGAAGAGGTTAACATGAAAAAAATCGAAAACTGTTGGATTTAGGTATAGACGATCTTATACAAGATTTATTTTGGCATTAAGTTTCCATTTGACATAATCCAATTTTGTATAATCTTTTGAATGTAATTTTTATCATATTTTAAGCCTGTATACTATATAGTCAACTATAATAAAAATTTAAGTAAAGTAAAAGTAGTCTTCTAAAAGACATAATATAATTTATAAAAAATTACCTACATCAAAAATTTATAATTTACTTTTACACAATAGATGTATTATTATATGTATATACTCTGTTTTTTTTTCTCAGGTAAGATTTCAACAGACGATGACAGAAAAAAAGCACATGACGGCCCATACCATTTACTTTACCACTTATTTTACCAAAAAAAGTTTCTAATATTTTTAAGTTAACTATGGATGGGTTTAAATATAAATCCGTCATACGTCCTCTCTTGTTGTTTTTAACCAGTTTTATTGGTTTATTTCAAAAATGACAGATGATATTTCAATTTTATTGGTTTGGCGGAACGATGAACGACAAACGGACGCCGATGCGTATGCACTCGCCTTTAGATTTTTGAGGCTTGTCAAAGTCTTGCCAAATTATAGGTTATAATTTTGTGTCAACTTATGTCAAATACCCTGCGTTTTGGAAGATGACGCATTTTGATTCGTGTTATTACTTGTGTTTTGTGTCTTTTGAAGTCAAGTGAAGGAAAAATCGAGGGAAAATTAACTGTAGACCCAAAGCACAGTTTATAGTTAATACTCGCTACCCAGGCATAAAGTTACCATCAATAAAGTTTGTATACCATCTCGTCGTAGATAAGTGCTTCTCGTATATGGTACAAGGATCGTACTAAACATATACTAAAAACTGGAGTAGCTGTAAAATATCGACATCACACGATAGGTAAATAATGGATTTTAGTACTGCAGAAAAATAATGTCAAAAGGTACTGGTTTAAAAAAAATTAAGATTAAAGTTAATTAATCATCCTTTAAGGTATCAAATTTGGTAATCGTTATTATTAATAAAATAGTTTGTTTTATTTTTGTTGTTTTATTTTATTCCTGTGGAATATTACAAATTTGTATTTGTATATAAGTTATATTGATAAAGATAATAATAAATTGAAGCTTGAAAGTAAGAAATAGTTATTTTTTATATTTTTTGGTATATGGTGTTTTGTTCTTGTTTGTTTTTTTTTTATTATCACCATGCCGTTTTTATGCACTTTCAAGGATCTTGTCGTTGGACAAACTATAGAATTGAAAATGGTTCAATCGAAAAAGCATAAAATGTATAGGTTAAAAAAAAACATTTCATTTTATCGAGGAACAGACTATACTCGATATTATTCAGTCAGTAGTTTAAAGCTAACCTAAAAACTAACCTGTACGAATTCATTTCCCTCCTGCTGTCGAATCCTTTCATTGTGTTGCTTCACAATGTTATTTTTCTCAGACCTGTGACTTAGGTCCAGGTCGCTGGTATTGCTATGAAGCGCTGCGGTCATTGGTTGTTGAAAATTTACGTGCTGCAACGGTAGACTATTACTAAACTGTACTCTACTGTGATGGACGGTATAGTGGTTATGTGATGTAGGTGCCATAGGAATAGGTTGAGGGTTGTAATTGTTTCTCTTGGGTGATGATGGAAACGTGTTGTTGGTATGTTGTGGTGTTCGAACGCTGCCGGTGACTTTTGCCGGGAGAGGTGGAGCTTCGAATTCTTGCAAGAAGTCGATCCATTTGTCGTCGCCGGATTGGCCACTGGATGAACTCGTCATAGTCCCCTAGAGCAATACACAAAATAAACGTATATTGAAGTTTTAGGGCGGTGTTTGACTTGAGCCGAGCACTGTAATGTAACGTTTGTTCGCTGCTGCGTTCGCACGAGCGTTTCGTAATTACATATAGGTACGTATAAATATTTAATAAATTTAAGTATTTTTTAAAACTAAGGTTTGTAGTAAAAATACATTTTATCCATAACACATACCAGGTGCATCGCAAAAGTGACTCACCCCTATAACTTTTTTATTTTTTTAGATAAAAATACAAGGTTATGTTAGTATCTAATACAGTACTAATCTATGTCATGATTAGTACTGATTGACGTATTCAATCTTTTTTCGGCCACTTATTTTCAACTGGAAATGACTACAACTTTTTATTTTTAAACGGCACCCTTATAATTTTCTATCGATTAAAGTAAATAAAATACTATTCTGACTCTGGCGGAACTCATAAAATGTTTCATCGCTTTACATTGGTGAAACATCTAGACCCTTAAATGTTCGAATTAAAGAACATAAAGATTATTTAAGAAAGGGCGATTTTTACAAATCTAAGATTTGTCAGAATCATGGGACACAGGGCACAGAATAAATTTTAACAAGGCCAAAATTATAATGAAAGAAGCGATAACCTCAAGAAAAATAAAAGAGGTTTTTTTAATACAATCTAATAAAAATAAATGCATTGCTCATGCACCTGTAGATGTTAGTAATGTATGGCAATCGCGTCTTTGATTTTAAAGAACATAACATAAATAAACATAACATACGTAAAAATTACAAACAAATTAAAAATAATTACAGACAGATAAGGCTTTTTGGTTTTACCTTATTAATTAATTGTTATCAGGTAGTAATTGTTAATTTTGAAATTTAACTTGATATAATGTCATTTTAACAGAACGTCAACGGTTTTTGTAGACGTATCTGTTTAAAAAAAATAAAGTGTTCTTGAATAGTTGCATTTAAATATTTTAAATAGTTTTTTTCTTTATTCTTTGTATTTTTTGGCTTCCGACGACGGAAAGAGATAAACTTTCCGAAATGTTAAGGATTTTTTTTGGTCGTTAGGCAAATTTGTTTATCAGTAAACCTAACTGCTGACAAGTAGTTTCCGTTGAATTAAGGCAACAGTGTTTACAAAAAATAACTATTTTATTTTGTAGATTTTCTTGCAGTGGCGAAATACCCATATAGGATTTCTTTGGAGAGCTCATAAACGGACTCAAACGCTTACAGCGCTTTCTGATGGAGCGGAGCCTCCGCGTGTTTTTATATTAATGTGTTTATGTATATGGCCGTCATCCGGACGGAGCATACGCGACCTATGTGAAATTGTTCATATAAACTCATGGTACTTGCTCGAAGTCGCGGAAGCGCTGTTATAGAAAATCTGAAAGCGCTGTTATAGAAAAGTATAAGAAAAATATTTTTTACTCTTTTTTCATTTTACACTTGTTTAATAAAACAAAGTGGAAGTAATCCTAATAAAGTATATAAAGATAGTACCTCTACATTGTTAGCATGATATCGAGCTTCCTGACCAAGGAAAGACTTGCTGCTACTCCCCGTTCCATAGCCTGAACTATTACTACTACGAGGAGGTGAAAAACTACGCTCGTATACCAGTCGATGATTGCCGGAAACCGCTTGCTGTTTCTGCGCTGATCTTTTCGTTTTGCTATTTTCATCCGTACTTTCATAGTCTCCTAATAAATAAAAAAACAGCCCTTAACAAATTTTCTTTCGTTTTTCAGTAAAAATAGCGTTACCTTCGAAATTTGTCTCATTATATTTACAGTTCTGTAAGGTACAACCTTTCCTAGGAGTACCATCATTAAGAGGTGGTATCACAGTAAGCACTACGGTTAAAGATGTCTTCAGAAGATCTACCATTTGATCATGAGTAAGTGTGGCAACGGCAACCTAGGAGGGATAAAATTTTAATACTTTTTTTTCTTCTAAATATGATTTCTTTCACATTCCTACCTTACAAATCTCAACCAATCTGGAATTTTGTCTAAGGCCTGACTGCCACGCTTGTCCTTGGCTCTCTACGAGAGTGACTACACCATCGGGCTGAACGTGAAAACCCAACTGACCCATTATATTACGACTAAAACAACAATTATTAGTACATTCCTAGATTTATGCAATGTAACCATATAAAGTCAGCATCGAAAAGAATATACAAATTATCAATCGAAAAATTTTGGGAGATGTAAATTTTGAGGCCATTCTAAATATGTGGTCTGTATTTTAATGAGTAAGACAACGATAAAGATACCTAACTTACGTTGTAACTCATTTACTGATATATTACTGTATTTACTTCGTACCGTGCTGGCAACTGTTACATTTGGGTCGGTATTTACATGTGTGGAAGTAAATCGCATAGGGATCTTATTAAGTCGGAGTGAGAGAAATGCGACGGTGTGGTATTGCGACGTTGCCGGTACGCCTTTCCCTATCAAGTAAAGTAAAATCACGATCGCAAACCGCTTATTTTTAAAAGGCTTTTCAGAAAAGATAATAAAATCATTAGACATGTTTCTGAGCATCTGAAATGAAATTATAAGGATATCGTTAGGGTGTAATTTTTTTATAACGAGAATACGTCAGTAATCGCGATAATTTAAAAACTCAAGTTTTTAACACATAACACGCCATAACTCAAGAAACACTTTAGATATTGAAACTTTTCTTATTTTGAAGATGGGATCTTTTACAATATGTTTACATAAGAAAAATTCGATAAGGTTGTTTTTTCCATTCAAAAATTGTAAACAACCCATCCATTTACTTTTCGAGCATAGCTATTTTCAGCAATCGTGTAATTTTTTTATTGATAAAGATTTTCACATACTGTCTGCAAAGAAAATATAGCAGAAATGTTAAGAAAGTTTTTGAAAAAATGAATCAATTATTTTTAATAGATCTGGAGATATCGATTTTTGGATTCAGAGTTCTAATAGCGCGACCACTGTCGAACAGCAACTCAATTCCACTTATTTTTACCAAAAATGCAAACGTTTCTAACTTGCACTTGAAAATTTTCAAGCTATAGGGAAAATTACAACAACTCGTTAATAAGTAAACAAATAAAGTATCGCGTGAAGTAATTAAATCGTGAAGCTGAACGCATGATGTACACCATTCCCTAGAACTTTAAGTACTGACAGAGGTACCGATTGGGGCGATCGATCGACTGCGACAACAGCTTTCTTCGGGTTCTTACTGCCGATCTTACTTCGGGTTCTTACCGATTCTGAACCGTTGTAGAACTCTACAGCGCATACGCAAATAAAATAATTTCTACATATTTTCTTCTGCACATGCGTATGAAAGTTCTAGGACGGTTCAGAATCGGTAATAAATCCCCTTCCACGTCTCTTATCAATGTGCACATTTTCTCGGTTTATTTCATACGTTTGGCTGTACATTATAAACGCATTGTACTCTTCTTACATACGGAAATCTCCACCCAAGACTAACCTTTGCCAGCCCTTAGTATACGGCGTCCACGGGTAAGAGTGTTCTACCAGCGTCTCTTTCTCGTGAAAAATAATTTATAAGCTTAGCAATGAATTCTTGTTCATTTTGGTTAAATCTTTGAGGCACTTTTGTAATAGAAAAAAATTGAATTTTGTTTTACAGCATCCAAATTTTAATTTTGACATTAGTCCGTTATTAAAATTATAACCCCAAATCAAATGAGAATAATTACTAAAAAGAATATGCAGTAATTTACGAAATGCCGTAATAACGTCACCAATCCCTTTCATCTGGTTGGAAAGTGAATTAGAGAGTTAGACAATACTCTCTCTCTCTCTCTCTCTTTCGTGTCCGGAACACTCTATATTTTCTCGGCCCAATATTGAGCCACGTCCAATGCTTCGGGTTTGCTTTGCCATAAATCGTCGGAGTTACAATGTTCAGGACAATTAATTAATTAAGTTGGACAATATATGACGTAATGTTGAACGATGGCTGAACATTCTATATCTACTATAATTTGGAATTACCACGGTATTTAGTCACTTTTTCCAAACCAAAATGACACTGACTTTAATTTTATAATTACCTTATCTTAATTTCTTTGGCAATATATCCATTGGTCACTGCTTTAAGTCTGTTAATGATCTCCACCAGCTCGTCGGTATCCCCGTGCGTATCTCTCATGTGAATGGTCATGCATTCGCCCTGATGATGGTAAATCCTCAAACTGTTAGTTTGAGGTGACCATCCTAAAATGCTCTTGCACGGAGTCACGAACACTATCTGTCTAGTTTGTTCTTCGATCAGTACGAACGTATCGGACGATATACCTACAATAAATCAGTTTATCGACCGTTTATATGTATGAAAAAAATAGTTGTACCCAAGAAACATTCGACTTGTTGACCTTGACCGCTGTCGTCCAACAAAACTTGCCACAAAATGGCACCTCTTTGGCACAGATCGGGAATGAAGCGAGGTCGGTTCTTGTCCTTCTTCTTGCTGCTGAATATTGCTGAAAGCCAAGCTGAATTGTACATCGCTATACCGTAACAATGGCAGAAATGTTAGGAGGGTAACAAAAGAACAACGTTCAAAATTTACTTTTTCTTAAAACAAAGATCCAAGCTCAAGTTAGTATAGTTCTTCTTGTATAACTTCCCAATGTAGTGGAAATCTGCTATCCATCAAAACAGTCAAAATTGGTGGTTTTAAATAAAAAATTGGATAACATGGCGAAACAAGAATCCTGAACTTAATTCAAATTAATAGGTGGGCACACAAGTAGTTTAAAAACAGTATAAAGTAATAGGCACACACAAAAGGTATTTTTAATCGATCTGTAACGCTGCTCGATCTGTCATTCTAATCCCGCCGATCTGGTCTATGAGAGGATAGATCTTTTATTGCCCACTAACGTAAATATCATCAATCCCTTATTTTCTGAACGGAATTGATATGTGAAGGGACAAATCGGTCAGTTAGTTGCAAATTCTCTCAAATTTTGAAGGGGTTGGACCGCGGCACAGTGGTTCCCAGATAGGTCATTACTTAGAAATATTAATTTCAAAATGTTTGCATGAAACTGTTGCTAATACTTTTCTTATATTCCCCTGTAAACGATACATAATAAATAACAAAATCAAATAAGCCTAGTGTAGCGCTTTTTTTTATTAGAAATGTCACATTTTTGCTACTGGTATCAAACTGACATAAACAGTCTTCAGATAACGCCAATTAATTACTTATTTTATTAAAATTGATAAAAGCTCTTGCCTTTTCTGTAATGGACGTTCGAAAAGAAGGTAAGCTTTTTTTTCTTTTTTGCACTTAATTAAACCTAAGTAATATTAGTTTATAGCAATTTATTTGAAGGCAACAAAAATCAGTTTATAATCATCTGCTGATGATGCTAACATGGTTAGCGAAACGCGCGTCCAGTGTAAAAGTAAAAGTGTTTTGGTGTATTGTGGTGATTTAGTGTTTTTATTTTGCTGTGTAACACCAAAGGTTCCAACCCTCAACTGTAAGCAACAAAAATAGTATATTTACATTTTTGCTTGTTACTGTTTAAGACTTTTAACTGCTTTTCCTTTCAAATCAAGCTATATCTAGATATCTAACAGTTATGACCGCGCAGCTAATTAAGGGGAACCACTGTGCGCGGGTTAGATATTTTATACTCGTATAAAATCTCGGCAGATTTTCGGTAAAAGATCCAGGATTGAGAGGAAAAAAATGGCATTATTGGGTTTGTATAGTCTGTGAAACGAATAACTTTGAATTTGACAGTTCCCGCGGGCTTTTCTAGTGTTAATTTTATTAGGTTAGCAACTTGCGGCCATGCTGACGCAATGCCGTCTCTAATAGAACAGCCTCAGAGCGAGATTTATGACGTCATACTAGTTAGATACTACGGATTAATAAATATGTTGTAGAATACATGGAAAACATATTCCTCGTATTTATGGTTTGTATTTTAAAAATTATATAGTTTACATGAGATATACATAATATACAGTTAATAAATACAATATATATACATATTTATAGTAATAAATACTTTCGCAAATAAACTATGAACCATACAAATGCAGCAAATGTTTTACAATATACAAATAATGAATAGGTACATAAGATAATGGGTAAAATGTAAAATATATTTTAAATTTTGGAGTTTGAAAATCGATCTAATTTAACAAACAACATTCAATGTCTACTAACTATGACTGAAATCGTACTCCACAGTTAATGTAGATAGTTTTAGTGTTAAGAATAATAATTTAAAAAAATACGTGGGCATCTTTTGACAAGTTTATATTAGTTTATTAATTGCAGTAAACATTATGGTGTGTGGTGTGAATATTTTATATGTAATTTTTTGGATTATATTCGACATTATTTTTATTCATATGACAACACTGATAAAGGCTATGATGTTTTTTTTTAAACCACGTTTTTTTAACCCAAAAAAAATAATGAAAAAACAAATGAAAACTTAATCAGCGTTTTTCCCGAACCTAAATCCCAAGAAAATCAAAAATTTTAGAATAATTTTACATATAAAATGACTGCGATCTTTATTATAGCCATCGCTGCCGCCTTTTTTCTATGATATTGTATTATTTGCAAATATAATATTTCGAACATTGATACTTGCAAAATATGCATATACATTTTGTGAATACAAATAATAATACATCACTATTAGTAGATATTGAATGTTTTTTTGTTAAATTATATCGATTTTCAAACCCCAAAATTTAAAATATATTTTACATTTTACCCATTATCTTATGTACCTATTCATTATTTGTAGGTATATTGTAAAACATTTGCTGCATTTGTATGGTTCATGGCTAATTTGCCAAAGTATTTATTACTATAAATAGGTATATATATTGTATTAATTAACTGGATATTATGTATATTTCATGTACTGTATCATTTTTAAAATATAAACAAAATACGAGGTAATATTTTCCATGTATTCTGTATATTATTCAATCATCATCCTGGCAATGACGTCATAAATCCTCGCTCCAGCATTCTATTAGAATTTTAACGTCTGATGTTAGAAATGTCAAAAACTGGTATTTGCCTTTTCTACAATTGTGTTGATTTCTGCAAGAAGAGGAGCTGTCACTTGTTTTATTATTTTCCTTTTCTATTTCACGAAAGTAAAAAGAGTTACCTGTCTGATTCGTTCAGGCACTCAATTTAAAGAATATCAGTAACTTTTTTGATAGAGGGATTTTATATTTGCCCTGTTGGTAAAAAATAACGGTCAAAATTCAAAGTTATTCATTTTATAGACTATATATACTGGAAATTGTGAAAAAATGTTATAAAAATACGTTGATCTAAGTCAAATAATAAAAAAATTGGTCCAAGAAAGACAAAAATATGGGTCCTTGTCCTTACTTCGTAAACTTCAGAAAAAATCAGAAAAGAAAATTAAGGAAAAAAATCACGCTACTATTTTACCGATAACGACTGCACTGTTCTCTAAGGTCGGTCTACTACCATTCTCGTTAAAAAATTAGGCAAAGCATCCCGTCAATAAAAGTTCGACAAAATTGCAAGTATTTTACGGTGACATACTTGTCAAGTAGCGATCTATAAAAGATATTGTTGTTTATTTAAATATTTTTTGTAGTAAATTAATCATACTCCAATATTGTATAGTGTCTACCATGTGTCTGCATTCTTGAAATTCCTTTCGTAGACACAGATCCAGTAGATAGACAGTAAAATGTATTTAAAAAAAGTAATAATGTAGCAGAAAATTTAACTAATGTTTAAAATAAATTAGATTTTTTAATAGTTCGCGATAAAAAAAAGTCTGGTAGCTTTATTGCCCTAATTTGAAATGTTGACGAATAGTGAAGAATAAGTGTGTTAGAAAATGTTTAGAAACAGTTTAGAGAAGGCACTTACAAAATTTTTGACCAGTATCCAGAGGAGTGCTTGATGAATACTGATTCACGAGATCTTTTAAATATTCCTGTCTAGTCCTAGTAGCCATTGTAACAAACTTCTCTGACCTATGAGCGGCATTCTCCGCATTTACCACCTGAAATATTATAATTCAGTAAATACAAATATAATATGATCTTAACAACTAAATACCTTAGCTAGCAAAAATTCAGCAAAAGGTTTGCCTTTTGGAAAGATCGCACCTTCTTTGATGGGAGGGCCAAATACTTCTACATCCTTTGATCTGGAAACAGCCACCTTGTAGTGGGTGTTCTCGGTACAAGGGTTAAGAGCATTTACGACAATAAACACGTGCTGGAATTGCGAACGAATTCCCTTGGGTGTAAATGGTAGTGCACCAGGTTCCTGTAAGGTAAGATCAAAAAAACTCTAGAAGAATAATTTACGAATCTATTATTTAGTGTATTTTCTACTGTGTAACTGCGAATGATACAACAGTTATTATGTTGTAATAATTAATGTTGAACAGTTACAATGATGTATAGTTAATGTACAGTTAATGTCCAGTTAATGATGTCCAGTAAATGTATTTGATGTTGTAAGTGTTATGATATAAAGTGCTTTTATTTTAACTGTGAACATAGGCGTCAATCATTGTAATTTGTAAATCACTCCCCTGTTGTCAATCCATAACCAACCTTTTATCATCCATTGATGAAATACCGACAGGCCATACTGTTTTTCAGCCAAAAAATTAATAGACATGAAATAAAATTTAAAATATTTTTTTTTCATCGTAATCTAGGATTTTTGGTAATTTTTTAAAGATCCATTTTTAGCTAAAAAAATATTTTAAAACAAAAAATATTATTTGTTGTGTGAGTATTAGTTGCATACTATTCACTCAAATCCAATGCATTGAGTGTTCCACTTTAAAAATAAACATACTTAGCAAAATAGCATTGCACTGTGTTAAGCCCTATGTTCACAGTTAAAATAAAAGCATGCTATACATACAAATGTAAGAACTTGACAACACTGTTTCCGATAGGCTTCAGTCGTATGGAAGGAAAGGATATGGAACGGAAGGGAAACGGAACGGATAGTGTGCATTGTCCTATTCATTTACATGATATAATATTGTATGTAAACGGAACGGAAATGGAATGGTGCTGATATGGAAGGTATAGTGAGAATCAACCTTTATACGGACATACCAATTCTAGCTTTATACTGTTGTTATTGTTTATTATTATTATTAGAGAACTGTAGGTAGAAACACTTGTCTACAATGATCATAAATGGCTGTAAGTTATAAATAGTGGGAGGTGTACATTTATATTCCTTAAAAATGTTTATTAAACAACAATCGTTGCCTATTAATATTTAAATTTAATAATTTCTAAAGTTTAATAACAGTAGTTGGGTTGTAACCTTTGTTTTTACAACAGCAAAATAATTCAGTAGTTCAGCACAATACATCAAAACACTTATTGAAGTAATACTTTTTTAGGCGCGAAGGGAGTAAACATTCAAGGCCGTGACACAACCCGCAAGACGACATGCGACGCGACAGGCGAGAGGAAAAATGGTAAGGACAGCTTATGGCTTAGAAAAAAATCGTCCGATTTAAATGAAATTTCGTGACGTCGACAGATTGAGCCTATGGATAGGACCAAGGCCAACTTGACCGTGTACGACACGCGTCACTGTGACTTAGTTTTGACGTAAGAAACGTCAAAAGTTGATGATCGCGACCAAATTTGGTGGTTAGACTATCTGAGCGACAGTGTATACGATTCCAACCTGCAAAGTTTAAGACGACGCGTGACGTTTCGTTTACATCTTCATCAGGGTGGGACTAAGGATTTGATAATGAAGAAAAATGTGGGTCGATTTCGGCATAATTGGAGACGGGCTACAAGATTACGTCCTCGAGGTTTCGAACCGATGCCTCTAAATGGACGAAATCATCGGAATTTTTCTTAATTATGGGTCGATTAGAACCAAACTCTGCATGTGGATAGAGGCACCCGAATGGAGTCCTCAAACGGACAGACGAGACGGTCAGTTTAATACAAATTTTTTGAAAGTGAATTATTTATTAATTTGTAATTTATTACTTTTTCAAACATGCCCTCAAATCGTTCTATTTAATAGTTGTTAGTAAGAAGATTCACTTCAAATATACGCACGTAGTACACACAATTTTTTTTATCACTGAACGCTAACCATATTAGCAGATGGTTAATACTCATTTTTTAGAGTTTTAATAATCTGTTGATGATCCAGCCCAGTGATAAACGTAAAGTGTTTTGGTGTATTGTGGTGAACGAATAGTTTATTTTGCAATAGTAACATATCCAATTGTTATTTAGAAATAATATTATTGTCCACCATTGATTGAATTGTGTAGTATACTAGATTTTTTACCTGAAATACTATGGTAACAATGTCATTTCCAATGTGCCTCTTGCGTAACAGTTGTTGCCGATTGTTCGGCGTGAACGGCAACATCGTACTGACATGAAACATGATCTCGCAGTCTTGGTACTGAGCATACACCGAGTACAATCCCGTCGAATCAGCTACAAATATAAATCAAAGATATATTGCCGAAATTATTTTCGAAAAATACATACTTTTATTGTCCAATCCTGCCTTATATTTGTCGAAGTTTTGTAAGCGTACTTTTTTGCCAATGGTCTCTAAAAATTCGGTAAATGCCGGTCCTGCTTCTTCGTTGTTATACATTTCTTCTTCGGTACTTTGTCCAGCTTTACAGTACATTATTCCAACCTAAAACAAGAATTGTTGATTAATGAACAAGAACTTTTTACTTGTTGTATCACGAAGTCACATCTTATTTTAATATCAGCTGTAATATCATGCTCCTATCAATTTATAGATATTTACAGGTAACATGTGAACTCTACTATAAAATATACAAAGATAACAGCTGGAATTGGATAAGATGTATGATTTGAAGTCATGTTGTCATTATTACATATAATAAAAAATAAATAGGTTTAGATTGGAAAGTGCCCATAAGAACAATGTAAATACTGTTTGGCACTATTCTTGCAACACGGTCGCGACCCAAAGCTTTTGACAATTTCGGAGCAGTTCGGCTTTTTCCGGAATTATATCGTCAAATATTATTTATTCAAATTTATTATTATTTTCTTTTAATTTTATAAATAAAATACAGTGTGTTGCATATAAGAAACTTTATTTTATATAAGGACATGTATGACATACCTATGAAACATTGGAAACCGACATTATGTCACGATCCACGATGGTTTTTGCAGTTCACAGTTCACAGCAGCTTTTTAAGTTTGTAATACTACGTTTTCACAATTATCACGGGTTTGAGTAAATAAAACTTAAATTAAACTCACAAGATAGCAATAATTACTTTGAAAATGGACGCTTTAAACACTTTTTGGAATTTTTTCAATGAGAGCGGTTTAGATTTTGAAAGATTTTATAATTTTTGAAGATTCTGACATTGACAAGAGAAAATTATTTCTATTTTTGTTTGCGGTTGTTCTTAGCAACCGCTATAGCAGCGCCAGATCGCGTACAACGGTCGCGACCCAAAACAATTTCACGACCTAAAATTTTAACGGGCTTTCCAATATAACTTTTCATTTGAGATTTGACTTTTGAAAAAAAAATGTTCTATCCGGAGTAAAAATGACTTTTTGTGCATCGCCTGCAATGTCAAACGTACAGCCTCGCCACAAAAAGTGTAATTTTTGCTCCTAATAAAACGAAATACTATTATTCTCCTTAGAGTAACTAACCTTATAATTATTCGTAAGGCCTTGTTCGTCCAATTTAAGCAACTGTTCGACGGTGTTTGGGTTCTGTAGGCCCAGCCTGAGACAAGTGAGCTGGATTTCGGGGGCGACGTATTCGAGAACTTCTTTGGTATTGAGGGTTTTGGGGTTATTGGAGGCCTTAATGTTGGGGACCGCATCTTCTAATACAGCACCGCGCAACGTTTGCAGTTCGGAAGTTCGAATCAATATCCTGTTGTAATAAAATTGTAGATAAATGATTATAATAAACAAGCTTTTAATACCTATTTATTAGTAAAAATATAGGGTGATTCACGGCTACCCATGGCACGTTAGACCTATGGACCCTATGGAGTGATAACAATTTTTGTAAAAATTTCGATTTTTATATAAAGCGCCTGCTCCATATTTTCAGCATTACAATTGCCGCATTATTTGAAGAGTAGTAGCATCTTTCTTATTTTGAACACCCAGTATATTATTACGTTTTTGGAAACTACTTTCATATCCCCATAATTTTTAACTCTAAAGTTTCATTCAGAACCTCGAAATCAGTAGAATAAATTAGTAGTTTCAATTAGCCGTAGGAGTTTGTTCACCTAATTTTAATGTAAGCATTCAAAACGTCATAATTAGTGGTAGTAATTTTCAATTAGTGGAAAAAGTTAACAAACTTATGACTTTTCCACTAACTATACTTCAAAATTTGCTAGGAATGTCATTTTGGCCTTTGATTATCACTCGTCAAGAAAAAATTTGGTTAGAAATCAAAAGTTTATTGTTTTATAAGCTAAATATTATGCTTTCTCTATGAATACAACAGACTACCGCAAGCTGTTGCTATTATAGGATATTTTATTAATTTTAATTGTGTTTTTTAGACATTGTGAATGATCGTAAACTAAAAAGTATAAAGTGTAATTGAAACCACTAATTTAATCCACTAATTGGGAGGGGTTTTGAATGAAGCTTTAAGCTTCATTAGAAGCTTTAAATAATTAGTGGAAAAGTCAAAAGTTTGTTAACTTTTTCCACTAATTGAAAATTACTACCACTAATTATGATGTTCTGAATGCTTAAATTAAAATTAGGTGAACAAACTTCTACGGCTAATTATACTAATTTATTCCATTGATTTCGAGGTTCTAAATGAAGCTTAATTGAGACTTATAAAGTTTGAATATTTGTCATGATAACGATTTTAATCGAAACAATTATAATACCTGTTATTATTATCTTTTAAATAACTTTACTGGAGAAATCAGAAGCTGTAGGTGTAGGAATATGATGAAAAGCAATTTTATTTAGGTTTCGATATTTTAAATAATATACATAGGCTTCAATATAAAATAACAATAATTTGAACGATTTTATAACAAACGGAAATATTTTTTTTTGACCTCCCTGTTTGTTATCATATCAGTTGATTGAGCCAGATCGGATAAGTCGACTTTCCTTAACCTATAAAGCAAATTTTAACTTCAATATGCCGAATTTATGATTTAACCCAAGAACAGTTAACTAGTTTACTATTCTTGGATTTAACAAGCTCACTTGGCTTATTCAAGATCATGTGTTTGTCAACCTTACACATGTTTTATTTTTTATGTCGAAAACTTATTAGAGATTGGTATAGGTTAGTATAATAGAAACATTTTGAAATATGGAAGTAGTTTCGAAAAGTATACAACACTACACTGGGTGTTCCATTTGAAATAACAAAGATGCTACCACTTTTAGCATGAAGCGGCAACATTGTAATGCTGAAAATAATTTAGACAGATGGAGCAGGTGCTTTTATGCAAAAATCCAAATTAGATCTAACGTGCCGTGGCCGTGTATCACCCTGTATAATGCATTTTGGAGCTGAACGTGGTATCCATTCAATCACACAGTATTTCAGCCGAAATATGTAGACAAATAAAAAGTCGTTTTCGCTTCCTGTCCCTTTTCAAGATGGGCTGAAAAAGTGAATCGACTGTCGGGCAAATGAAGCAGAAAGATCGGTTACCCAAAACCGACATCGCCAGGATGAGTAATAAATAAAATTCTGTGGGAGTTGGGCAACTTTTCAAAAAATTCATTGTTGACAAATCAACGAAACATTTACATCCGTTGGCAGAAATCAACATTCATGACGCAAATTTTTCTCAATTGCTTATTTATTATGGCTTATACAGTTGCTTATTTTATAATCCGCTTTATTATTTTTGCACCTGCTGGGGTATTAATAGTTCTTTATAAAAATATTGTGTACTGAAACTAATATTTTTCTGTTTCTGCATATAACAAAATACATATGTATATGATAAATTTACAATTTTTGATATATTATTAGTGTTGCATATATATGTACAAATATTTGATACCAATTAAACTTTTAGTTACGTAATCGAGGGCGCGATTTTTAAATTCATTGTTGCCAACCATAGACATATTCGGCGCCAAGCTGACTAATAATTGAAATTCAAATTTCCCGCTGGAAATTCAGGTGATAGCTCTGCTGTAAAAATGTCAAGTTGCAACATTTATTTATTTATTTCCTGACATTGTCATTCGTTTTCACACTTTAGTTTTGTAATACGAGTTTTCGGTTTAAATGAATTATGTTGTGATACTTTCAAGCATAACAATTTTTACTAACAGACTTTGCAGTCGACCACTGTTCTTTTTAAAACCTCTTTTAGTGCAAAGTGTACAAGATAGCTTAATAGCCATAAAAAACTGATCGCAACTTTATTAGAATATTTTGAACGGGAAAGCGGTAGTAATGGCCCTTCATGTCCCTTAAGTGCTCTTAAGGAGGTGAGTTTTGTTGATGTAAATAACTGTTTATATATTTATAATTAATTTATTTTTATACAAAAGCCAAAGCAATAAGACTCTAAGTCTCGACCGAGACTTATAGCTTTGACTTTTGTATTTATAAAACCAGGTATCTTTGGGATCAATGGACGCCCTTTTTCACTTATTTTTGTTTCTTAAAACATTTTGATTAAAAGAAAATATGTAAAAGTGGGCAACGCTGTGCCAGTCAAGCTTAATCGCGTGATAAAAGTTTATTTGATATGAACTATATATTCAGCTACGTTTATTTAAATTGCAGACTTTACCAGAAAAATATTAAACTTTAGTAATTAAATCGTAACATTCCTAAAAATAGAACTTCTAGCTTTAAATCTGTTTTTATTAGCCAATATAAATAATACCATGATCAAAAAAAGGCGTCAAAAACGGCTGGGGAATAACAATTGATGATACTTTTGGCGAGGTCAAGCACTATACGTCGTTACTTGGTTACTCTTCTTAGTTTTTTAATGGCACTTATCTACTGCTAGTTTGCGTTAAAAAAGTTGTAATTTATTTTATATTGAGTAAAAATTATTTTTAAATATTTTATAGATAAAAACTGAAGAAAAATATTTTTTTTGAAAATAGATTAGTGGTTCTGCAAACGTTCTATTCTTTTTTAATATTTCTTGTTAATAGGCTTGACATGATGGCCAACTATGGTTTATTTCCATTTAAAAAAAAACATATGTTTGTGTCGTATGTCAAATATGACAGGCTTTAGAAAAAATTACTTAGAGGAAACCGTAAAAAACGGAGAATACAATCTTCATTAAGGATGTGATTATCTACCACATTTATCTGAAAACTTTTTGTCTAAAATAGATTATAATGGAATTAGAGCATTTTTAAAATAGCCAAATTGTTTTTTTCTTTTCTTAATATCTAGTACGCCATAAACCTTTTCGAAAATCCGAAAGGCGTATGAGCTTGTCCCCACAAATCTGCAATTTTTTCCCCATTTAACCGACTCTCTAGCTCCAGTACTTTCCGAGGTACCCATAGAGAACATCGTAGAAAATTCACCCTGTATACAGATAAAGGGTTTTCAATGAAATATGATTTTTCACTTAATTAGTAAGGAAAAACATGAAAGTAACTCGTTTTTTTTTTCTAAATCCCGGGATTGGATATTTCGTCCGAGATTGAATGCCCTAACTGTAGTACTGAAACGTTCGGTATATCTGATACAAAGGCATCTAAATAAAGGGAGACAAAACAATTCAATTCAATTCAATTCAAAAGTAGTTTAATGTTAAAAAAATATATAAATTTTTATTAACAAAGCATATTCCTAAATCTAAACCTAAAATATCTATAGCCAGCACTTTTAACATATAAAAACAGTTCCATCAAAAGCAAACAAACGCATGTAAATATAAAAACAAAAAGTAAAAAAATTGTGTAGATATAAGATTGAACAAAATACAACCATTTAAACAAACAAACAAAATTCAGGAAATAGGTAACAACTAAGTAAAATAACATATACAATACATAGAATAAAGATAAAATAAAATATTTCTAAATTCTAAATACTAATATCAAGGGTAGAATTCGTCAACGCTGTAAAATGCCCTACTTAAAAGTTCCCTTTTCAGTAGCCTCCGGAAAGTTTTTATGGAATTAACCAATCTTAAAGCAACCGGCAGATGATTAAAGACCTTTCGGCCCTCATATATTATAGATCTCTTGACCAAGGTGCTATTTGGAAGTGGCAAGGGCAGATTCAGGGTTTGGCGAGTAACAATATTGGGTATAGGACCCTGTAGTCTGTTACGATTTTTAAAAATAAGGGATGCTGTTTCCAGAATAAAAAGAGATGGTAGAGTAAGAATCTTTTGAGCTCTGAAGTGTTGTCTACAGGATTAGTTATGTGGTACATTTACAATAAACCGTACGGCCTTTTTTTGTAAAATAAACAGAATGTTTAGTAGACCCTGATTAGCCACACCCCAGAATGGTATTCCATACCGGAGATGAGACTCAAACAAACTAAAATAGACCGTCCTTGCCACTTGTGAACCCAGTTCTCTCTCTTCCCTAATTCCCCTAACAGCAAAGCATCCAGAAGACAACTTGCCACTTAAGGCCAGAATATGATATTCAAATCGCTGATTTCCATCAATAATAATTCCTAGGAATCTAGTCGCAGGAATTCCTGTAAGCAAACCACCCTCGAAGTGGAGATTTGCGATGTCACACCTAAGCCCAACAACATGTGTCTTGGATAAATTTAAGGTGATTTGAGTTAAACCACTCTTTAATGAAGGATAAGTCCTTGCTTATGATTCCCTTAAGATGATCAATGTCCTTGGCCTGCCATAATATTGAAGTGTCATCTGCAAAGAGTGTGAAATGTCCAGAGATTTGCAGTTCTGTCAAATCGTTAATGTACAATAAGAATAAAATAGGCTCCAAAACAGAGCCCTGTGGAACACCGCAACAGACATTTAACGGCGAGGATTTTTTTCCAGAGCACATGACACACTGATATCTACCCCCAAGATATGATCTAAACCAGGCAAGAGCACGTCCACGAAACAGTTTACATTTTATCGCGATCACGAACCGTGTTCCGCAAAAATCGATGATGACAGATTTACGCGGTATGTGATAGAATACGGTTCGAGTTAAAAAAATTGTTATTATTGTTATTAATGTTTTTTGGGTACTTATAGAAACGTTAAACTAAATATGTGTATAGGTATATAACTTTAATTAATATACATAGATTGTGCCAGGATTATACCTTTGAAATTATTTTTAGTTTGCTAATTAAATTATATTAGGAAAATTACAATGACAACCAGGGGCATCGCTGTGGATTCATGTTTACTACGAAATTATCGAAATCTGTAGGAATTACGCTAACATTTGACGTTTTAATTTGTTTTCATTCAACTTATATTTGACAGCGCGCGGTTGTGAGTTTTCTGCGGTAGTTGAAAGTTTTTGCAGCTTTTGAACAACTTCGTGTTTATTGCAAAGAAAACTATTTAAAGTAGTTTTTAACTATCTACAATGGTTCGCCAGTGCATAGTTTGTAAAAAGGCGGACTATTCTAACCCGGTATTGATATTTCGACGGTAAGTGTCATTACGTTTTTTTAACTTTAGCCATGCTTACAGTAGCGAATTTAGATACTTTTAGTTATAAGTAGATTATTACAAAAATACGTATATTTTCTTATTTGTTGGCGCTTTCCATTGTGAAATTAGAGTTACCTTCAGTTAGACCTCTAAAGGTAAAACTAGTTATAATGGAAAATTATTGGCCTGACGCAATCCCAATCAATTTTTGATAAAATTCATCAATTTTTGATAAAAAAAAACATCACGCCACTGATAGAGCCAAATGAAAGATAGACAGAAAGATAGACGAAACTCAACCGTGTTGTCATATTTATGTACCTATCTCTTTTTAACTCTCATAAAAGTGTCAAACCATGTATAATTCTAAAAAATTGAGTTTTATTAATGTTCTGTCTACCCATTTAGATGTCTTTGATCTGATATACACGATACCGGATGTCTCAGTACGGATCGATCGTACAGAAAACTGAGAGCGTAAATTTATCGGTACTCACCTGTACTGGTACTGCGTAAGTGTGGTGGTGAGTTGGTTGTCGGGATGGATGACTTTTTCGCGCCTGATGGAGATGGCGACCGGTCCGAGCTGCTCGTCCGTTCCGAACCAATTCTGGTGCTCTGCAACGGAAACGATCGTCAAAATGGAGTAGCAAACGGCAGGAAATGGGGACGCTTCAGGCACCCACCGATCCGGTTCTTGACCGAACTCGATTGATTACCAGTCCGTTGCTTATAATTAATTTGATCGTAATTTATTACATATAAATTTCATAATTTTCAAACTATATACAGTGTGTCGCATCGTCGAATAGGAAATTCCATATAAATTTTAAAAACGATGAATGGGGTTTCCTCATCTTATTTTACAGAAAATATTCGAAACTTTTTAAAAAACTTAAAACAAAGCCAATTGTTCATTTTGAATAATTTTTACGAATACTGCTAGTTTATGGAAGGTTACTGTCCAGTAAGGTGAGCCAAAAAAACTATCCTATAGAATGGTTTGTTTTGGAACCTAATAACTGAGTATCCTAACCTAATAACTGAGTATATAGGTTGGTATCCTAGTTTATGGAAGGTTACTGTCCAGTAAGGTGAGCCAAAAAAACTATTCTATAGAATGGGTTAAAATAAACCTAATAACTGAGAAAAAAATATCCCCGGAAGGCAGGATTTTTGGCTCAATTTAAAAGGTGTCGGTGAACATTCAAAGTTTTCCATTTAAACAACACGTAAAAAAATATTTTTCCATTAAACGTACCATAACTATGAAACGGTTTAGGATAAAAGGTTTCACATCGCGGAAAACACAGCATGAAATTTACTAAAAAATCTATCCAAGAGTAATTATCTGAGAGTAATCTACATTTTTTTCACTTTTCAAAGCTTTCAAATATACGAATTATTGAACTGGAAAAAATTACTCTCAGATAGATAGATACTTTTAATGGAAAAAGATTTTTTTACGTGTTATTTAAATGGAAAACATTGAATGTTCACCGACACCTTTTAAAATTGAGCTAAAAATCCTGCCTTCCGGGAATATTTTTTCTCATAAATTCCATAGATTTTTATTCCATAATTATGCATATAACGATAGTTTATCAGAACGTGCGTCGTCGAGTTTAACAGAACATGTGTAACAAAAAAACTAAAGTGTTCTGGTAGACATACATTTATACATTTGAAATAGTTCTTTATTATAAGCTTGGTGCATTTCAGTTGATTTTAAAAATTTCGACTGCAGAGCCCGCTAAGGCAAATATCAGAACTTTCCGGCTCTGTATTCACACAATCCCGGTTACATTTCATGTTGATCGCATTGAAATAATGTTAAAATTGTGGCTTTGTATATAGTATAATAGTTTTTACTAGTGCTGTTATTGAAATGGTGTTTCTAGCGACTGGAAAACCTAGAGAATGCACAACCGTATCAGAACTGGGGTGACCCCAGTAAAATCCAATCTGTTGACATGAGGTTTAGTTGGTTTGGTTTGTAGACAGAAATGACGACAAATGCGACTGCTGCGGCGCCTTTCAGGACATGGAACATCTTCAATATCCTGCCTGGCCTCACAGATGTACCCTCGACGACCTATGGCTGGCTAAACGGGAAGCATTGGACGTAGCCCATTACTGGGCTAACAAACTCTAATCCGAATACGAAAAAGTAAAAGTAAGTAAAGTAGGTATTGAAACTATAAAACACGCAGGTACAAGGTTTGTGTGATGTTGTGTGAAAAAGATTTCGGGTGGTAAATATTACGTGAAAAGAAACTCGAACTAGGCGTCGCGTCGCGTTGTGTTGTGAAAATTTAAATGTTAATAAAATTGCCGTAAAAATGCTAACATGTAAAGGAGGGCGTAATTACATGGTTGTTGGGTGCAATACCATTTAATAACTCAACTCTCCCGGATATTCAAATCTCCCGAAACAGCATTTTATAGCTTCATCACTTCTCACGCCGATTTGATCAAAAGCAAAAAGGGATTCAAGCAGTTCGACGAAACAAGTGAGTAAACAACATGCCCATTGCATAATCAAATAATTAAATAGGCATATACTATGAAGATAAAATATAATTTAATCAATATCAATAGTATACTTCTTTTTAATTCATTTTTTTTATGAATGTCTTCTAAAATTGTAATTTTGTACCTTTGAAAAATTTCGTTATAGCCCAAATAACCCCAGTCCCACTAGCAAAACCGGTAGGTAAAATTATGCTCGCTACCGTAGCTGAACTCATCTAAAAGGTTTTCTTAGCTTGTATAATAAATTATAATACCAAGTCAGACCTTCTGAATATATCAAAAATTTACTTTTATTTTTTTTGGAATTTCCACAGATTATACTTCCTAACATTTTTAGAATAATTATATAAAAAATTTTTCGTGTATTTGCTATTTAAATCCGTCTATTTATTTAGTCTGCTGTTTACAGTATTCTCCGATGGTGGCAGCACCGGGGGAGAGTCCACCAAGCCTATATGTTTCCGAAAATAAAAGGCAGATAACCCTCTGAAACGTTAAGCATTTTTTTTTGGATAGGCAAATTTATTGACGAGTTAAAAAACACTGATAAGGTAATATCCATTTGGATTTAACGCAGTGGCATCCTACAAAAAATAACAAGAATTTTCTAGTTTTTATTTTGTTTCAGTAGCGAAATACCCATGATTTTTTCAACAAAAAATAAACCCCCAACAAAGGTGTTGCAGATATTGGTTTAATGAGAGTTATTAAGCAATTACATGAAACTGTGACGATTACTTACAAACTCGTTATTACACATATTCAAGATAAACCTATGAATTAACATTTAACCGATTATGTGCGTTGTAAATTCACTAATTTCTTTTTGTAGCAAAACTAGTTTGTCTGTAACGCCAAGTCAGTTTAAAACGAGGAAAACAAGCGAGGAAGCAAATTGAGAAGAAAAAAAGAAGAAAGAGAAACCGAAGCGAGATGCGGTAAAGCGGTCATGTAACAGTAAGACATTGACATTGAACCGAGACAAGACAAGATGAAGAAGACAGTCGTCGTCGTTCGCGTAACATCATCACGAGAAAGTCACCGAATGGGACCTTGACAGGATTCGGAGAACGAATTCCCGAAATAGCTGGCAACTTGGCAACGGGAAGAGACTAAACCCGTGGGATGGTGTTTTCAATGAATAAAACAAGCGTAGTTTTTACGGGAGCCGGTGAATGTTGCGTCACTAATTTTAAAATTAAAATATAATAAAATATGATCGATATTATAACAATGACGACTTATTTTAAATTAAACAGAAATTTGTAATACATATAGGGTGATCTAAAAAAACTAACCTATGGAATTTATGGGTTAAAATGAACCTAATAACCGAGAAAAAAATATCCCCGGAAGGCAGGATTTTTAGCTCAATTTTAAAAGGTGTCGGTGAAGTTTTCCATTGAGATAACACATGAAAATCTTTTTCCATTAAAAGTACCATAAATTTGAAACGGTTTACGATAAAAAAGATTACATCGCAGCTTCTGGTAGAGCATAAAATTTCCTAAAAAATCTATCTGAGAGTAATTTTTTTCAATTCAATAATTCGTATATTTGAAAGCTTTGAAAAGTAAAAAAAATCAAAATATGCAGTTTTAGTGTTTATTGATTAAAAATTTTCATATTTAGCAAAAAAGATAGATTACTCTCAGATAGGTTTTTTGGAAATTTGCAAGAATCCGAGAATGTATTTTTTTTTACTTTTAATGGAAAAAGATTTTTTTACGTGTTATTTAAATGGGAAACCTTGACCGACACCTTTTAAAATTGAGCTAAAAATCCTGCCTTCCGGGTTTTTTTCTCGGTTATTAATTTCATTTTAATTTTAACCCATAAATTCTATAGGTTAGTTTTTTTGGCTCACCCTAACATACATGCATTCTAATGTACCTATATTCGATACCAGTTAAACTTTTAGTTATGTAATCGAGGGCGCGATTTTTGAATTAATTGTTGCCAACCATGGACATATTCGCAGTCGGGCTGACTAAATGAAATTTAAATTTCCCGCTGGGGATTCAGGTGGTAGCTCTGCTGTAAAAAATGCCATGTTGCCAGATTTATTTATTTATTTCCTGACATTGTCATTCGTTTTAACGTTTTAGTTTATTTTCGTTTCGTAAAATATTTTGATTAAAAGAAAATATGTAAAAGTGGTCAACGCTGTGCTGGTAAATCTTAATCATGTGACTTAAAGTTTAGGCCCGTTTCACAAAGGACCGATGATCAGTGCTGATAATCGGTCGCCACCGATCATCGGTCGAAATTGTTGTTTTCATATTACGCATATCATCAGTCGTCAACATGTATTTGAGAAATACAAAACATCGCGTTGTTGTCGCTTTGTGTGTTAAAAGGCTAATGGAAAGGCAAAAAAAATTGTTTTCTCTCGTTTAATAAAAATGTTGTTTTCTCTTGTCTAATAAAAATGTTTTCTCTAGTCTAGATTCACAAAATTTTGTATCAATATTTCAGCCACTTCTTCCCAAGCTTTGTTTTTCATATCACGGTTTTTGTAATCTTCAGAAGATGTATCCCAGATACATGGTTATTGTTCTATTGTTGATATTAGCTGCTCAGTATCAAAACGATATTTTCCTTACTATTTGCCATCTTGCGTAGCACTTAAACGAAAAGAATATCAGAAAAATAATTCTCAGCAGATACTATCAACACTGTATCGAAACTGTAACTGATGATATGCTTGCATATAAAAATCTCTGTTTATCAAATGGCTCGGACACCAACCGATGATCAGCACAAGCCACGGGCTGGACCGACGCCCGTGCGTTGTCTAACGGTTGACCGATGATACGCGTACATGTGAACGATACATACAACATAGTACATAGAACAATGGCTAGGACCGACCGTCCGTCCTGATCATCGGTCCTTTGTGAAACGGGCCTTATTTGGTATGATCTATACTATAAATGTTACTACGTTTGATTATAGCGTTGATACTTTTAAGATGACACAAAATCGGAAGTTAGGGATCTGAATGTTTCTTTCCAAAAAAACTTGAAATTTAATAACCATTACCTTTCTATTACAAATAAGGCCTATAAAGTGTTGGATTT